ATCAGGCTGAATGAGTTACTGTTACATTGATGTAAGAAGAGATTAGGGTTGGGCGAGTATACAAATATAACAGCTGGTTGTTTATTCTGTGGCAGATTCAAACATTTTTATCATTTCATTTTGCCAATTTAATCATTAGTCATTTTAATTCTTCCTCTGAAGGACGTGTCCACACACTGCGCAGGAGAACAAATATCTGAACATCTAACTGCGCCATGTTATAACATATGGCGTTATTATGGGACAGATAACTGATTATTATTATTATTATTATTATTATTATTATTGGTATTCGGTGGGATGGAAACCTGCTGAAAAATAGTTTAATAGCTCAGAACATCTGCACCATTCAGGAGACAGATCTAATTTGTAAAAGTAAAAGATTTCACACTCAGTCCAACATCAGCACTGCATTTAGGTTTGAATAAACAAAGAGCCCTCACACACTCACACACACACACACGACACAAAGCAGACCTCACCTCTGCGACTCTGCACTGAAGACGGAGGGAAACATGACAGCGAGGGAGGCAGAGAGAGAAAGAGAAGAGAGTGAGTGATCCTCGTGCACAGTGAAGGTTAAAGTTGATTCAGGAACAGGTGAAGCAGGAAGAGAACAGAGACACCTGCACAAACACATCAGCTGACTGAGCGGAGAAACAGCGAGGAGTGTGTGAAGCTTTCAGTGTGTGGACTCAACGTCGACCTCTTGTTGTTCTCAGTTGTCTCATCACTGAAGCTTTCAACCAGTAAGTAGTTTACTCCTCATTCTGTTTCTGGTTAAAGCTCAAACACACTGACCATTACTGAAGCTTTTAGAGCAGCCTGTAGTTTCTGTTATCTCTGTTTTAAATTCAGTGTTAACTAAACTTATTGTAAAGTTCTTATTGTTTGATATTCTGGTTACTTATTTTCATTTCCTGACAGTTTTCTTTGTGATGCTTTTTGGCTGCTGATGATGATTTACATGTGAGTGCAGTTTAAAATGGAAGAACTTTTCCTAAATAGTCTGGACTGCGAGTATCTGATCTGAAGAAGTCAAACAATCTTGATGAAGACAATTGTGCAGTTAGTGAAATGTATTGTGGGTCAACATCCAGCCCTACCAGCTAGAAGGATCCAGCTAACCCTTTAAGACTATTCCAGGCAGGTTTTAAGTGTCTGAATGTTAATCACAGTGAGGTGCAACCAGCCGTCTGAAACGTTGCACAGAGGTGGAGTTCGTGGTGTGGGTGTGGTCTGTAAGGAATGGAGGGGCAGGAAGCAGAAGCTGGAGCTGGCGGGACGAGTTTCGGGGAGTGCGAGTGCCGGACGTGACGCATACGTACTGATCTGGTTCAGTGTTTCCTGAGGGATCCAGCTCAGGTCCACGTCATTGTGGCTCGAAGTTCCCATTTCCACCTTTGGAGCTGGACGCCTCCTCTGCGCGCGCGCACACGCACACACACACACACACACACACACACACACACACACACACACACACACACACACACACACACACACAGTTAGAGACCTGCCATGTCAACTCGATTTCGGTCATCTAAACTTTACATTTAGTTTTAACGCTGCAACTAATATATATAATATTTTAACCACTATCAGTTATCTGTGAGTCTACAGCAACAACAAGTTCAAGAGTTCAAAGTGTCGTCTTCATATGTCCTGTTTCATCCTACTCAACAGTTTACAGGTAAAGGTTCAAGCCCGACTGGGAGTTGTGTTGAGTTGAGTGTGTGTTTGATGTAAGTGTCTGTACCTTTCTGGACTCCATCAGCTGGTGAAGGCCTACGACGACCAGCAGCCCGAGGCCTGACAGGAAGACGTACATGAAGATCCTGGGAGAGAAGACGGAGGAGTGAAGATTCAAGAGAATAAAAAAAGAGGGATGAAGACGAGGATAGGGGAGCAAATAAATCGATGTACCACTGACAATAAACAAGTTAAATCCACTCACGTCTCTCCGTCCAGTCCATCCTCTCTCTCAGTGATAGTGACCGTCTGGTTGAACACGGCATCCTGGAAAATGTTTCCCTGCAGACAGGAAGAGAAAGGAAGAACAGGGGGAGGGAGAGAGAGAGAGAGTGGGAGAGAGAAAGGACGACAGAAACAAAGATAAGAGAAGGTCAAGAACCAGAGAGAAAGGTAAGAATAAGGGAAAGACGAGAGAGAAGAAAAAGCAGATATGAGGAGAAAGATCAAAGGTCAGATGGCGTTGAAGAAAGTGGCGAGATAAAAAAAAAGAAAGATAGAGATTACTCTCCCTTTTTAATCACTGGGTGAACTCTGACCTCTTTATCATCAGGTCCATCTGAACAACAATCCCTCTGCAGACTCAGGAGGTTTATTTCTATGATAGTAACAATTTTAAGGAGCCAGAAAGTCGTCTGCTTCCAACTCATCTCTTACCACTGCTACAACAACAACAACAACAACAACAACAGCAGTAAGGTCACTATTTGATAATTATGAAGTACTCTAACACCAATATTTGCTCAACTTTAGTAGAAACTAGTATTTTTCCATAAGACACAGGAGAGTTTTGACCCCGATAGAGGAGTCGTCTTCAGCCTCCTTACATTGCCGTCCTTGTAGTTGAGGTTGATGACGAGTCCGAATGGCCGCCCTCCCATTGGCTCCGCGGGGATGAAGGAGTACTCAAAGGTGGCCTGTCTGCCGGAGGGAACCACGATGCCGAGCTGGAGAGCGGTGAAGTTCTGGATGTAGAACTGGTAATCCTGACGGGGAGCAACAGACACGAGTCAGAGAGAGAGAGAGAGAGAGAGAGAGAGAGAGAGCTGCACAGAGACACACTCGACCCGGGGGAGTCGTTGTGCTCCAGGAGGGAGGCGCAGTGTGCGTTTATGTACCTGTGGGTAACGGAAAGAGGCGTCCAGAGACTCCACGACGAAGTTCTCGGACCCCTTGTTGGAGAAGCCGAGCAGGAACTTGACGATGTTGTTGGCGGGAAAGTCTGGAGAGAAACAAGACGGTCGATCAAACAGTTTTCACTACAGAAGGTCTGAGCTGTCGACGAGGGCAGAAACCTTTAGAGGAAGTTACCTTCTCCTTTCACAAACAGGATGGTGGTGTCGGCGTTCGGGGGAAGCCTTCACCTCTCCGACCAACGCTTCTTCCTCTTCATCTTCTTTTTCTTCCGTCTACACACACACACACACACACACACACACACACACACACACAGGTTTATTTCCCTTTATATCTTAGGGCTGTATAGAAGACCATTTTCATTCAGCTGCCACTCATTAATGTCAATGTACTTCCAATTAAATTAGAGTAAAGCTGATTGTTGAGGTCAGCAGCTTCCTTTTCCTCTAGAATATTACTTGATGGATCAATAATGTGTTGATAGAGATAGCATCACTGTTTATTACTGTATTGATCATTTTTAACCCCGATGTAACCACTCACCAGTTCCGCGTTCTCGTCGTCTTCTACTTCCGCCTCGTCGTCCTCGTCCTCTGCCGTCACGTCGTCCACCACGTCTTCATCCACAGCCTCGGCCTCCTCATCCTCAGTCAGATCCTGAGCGCTCACCTCGGGCCCTGATGGGCGGGAAACGAGGCACATTGTTAAAACACAACCTTCCTTAAAATGACAGTACACAGCGAGTGCGTTTACATGCGGGATATGTGGATATTATTCGGGTTTTAGCAGCATTATTTGTGGCAGTTTGTCGGTTTAAGTTGGGCTCTGTGTGTCGTTAAACAAACCAACAGTCTGAGGCTGGAAGGAGAAACACATCTACTTTTAAACATCATGAAAGATGTTTTTTTGGATATGTGTCAGTAACAGTTTCCAGTTTACGTCATTAACAGTTGGGTTGATCCGACTATACACAGCTGCATTGTAAACAGCTTAGTAGGAATATTGTCTTTTTTTGGAATATGGGTAAAACTGGAATATTGTGTGCATATAAATGTAGTCGTATTGTTGTAACTCTCCAAACACACCTCCAGCTCTCCACAAAACAACAAGCACTCAATGCATGAAATGTGCTGCCCTCAAATTCATTCACATTTTATTGAATGCTGTCCACACTATACTTTATCCCTTTGAGGGTGGACTAAATAATAGAAACACCCCTCAGTTCACAAACGACAGCCTCCAAACTGACCGTACAGTACTCTGAAATTGTTTTCTGTACAGTTTATTATAAACATAATCCACATTGCTCAATCCTATCACACAGTTACATCAGTAAAATAAAATATAGACGCCATGTGCATTATTTTATACACATTTTACTCAAAAATGCTCCTATAACATCTGCAGCAATGCTCCTGTCCAAAGATACAAGACAAACTACAGCTCCAATGTGAGTATTAAAGTAAGATATATCTGCACTCTTCTGCTTCTTACTTTAAATACATGTGCTTCATAATAAATCTCATTGTTTTTAATGTGAAAGCAGAAGATTAAGCTCAGATTAACCAGCCCAAGAACACCATCAGAGCTAATATCAGAGCTAATATCAGAGCTAATATCAGAGCTGCCCCGTTCAGTGGCAAATACTCAACAACTGCAGATTAACAATCAATTACTTTATCACCCTGTCATAAAGAGTCTAAATGCAAAATAAAAAAAAAACGCATGCTGTGTAAAATGAGCCAGTGAGACCACCGTACCTGCGCCGTTAGCTTGGACAGCTAGCCTGACAACATGTGCCATTAGCCAGTTAACGCGACTTTTATACGTGTTTATTAATCACCATTATTATTATTATTATTATTATTATTATTATATACAGTAACATGAGGGGTTTGAACTCCATTATAATTAGTCTGAGTTGAGTTTCTGTTTCCCGCTGCAGACTGACAGTTAGCACGTTAGCTCCCCGGCTAACAGTAAGGACACGTCAGGCCTCCCCCCTTTTTTCTCCCCCACAGCAGCTAGTTAGCCGAGCAGCTCCTTCCTCCTCCTCCTTCCTCCTCCTTCCTCCTCTTCCTCCTCTTCCCCTGTATCACACACACACGTACCTTTGCTGAGGAGAGTGGCGGGAAAGGCTAGCAGGAGCAGCAGCAGCAGTTTGGGGAGAAATGTCGTCATTTTGGAGCTCGGAATCAGCTCGTGCTCATTCAGCGTCTGACTGCCGGGGCTGTTGCTTTAACGCATGCGCACACGGGACCAGTGGGTGTGGTGGCGAATTTGGTTCACCCACTCAAATGATGTCCCCGCCCCACCCCCCCTTTGAGCCGTCCTCCGCGGTGGGGGTTCGGTTTGGCGTCCTGGAGATTACGAGCTGGGGTTAGGGGGGAAGATTTAGGTTGAGGTTGAGCGTTTTAAAAGAGATCTTGCTGGGTTGATATTAATAATTAATTAATGGGGAACTCAAATCGATAGGGTAACCGATTTCGACACAACACCGGAAGTCTAGGCTGCCCAGAAAAAATATATTTATATCATGACAGCTGCTCAGATGACAAACTTTGCCCCCAAAAGCAACATTTAAATTAATAATTAACTCTAAATCGGATAAATATCAGGTATCTTTTTCAGATATAGTAAATAAAAGGAGAGTTCCTGCACCAAATTTCAAAATAAAGGACTGGACCCAACTACAACACACCATAATACAGCTATCAACATGGTTTCCAGTGTTTTTAAATGTTTATCTACATCTGTATATGTTTGTAAAAACAATAAAACGGGCCATATTTTCTATTAGGTCTAAAAAAATCCCACATAATATGAATTTCATTTGTTTATTTTTATTCTGACTCTAGAATTAATTGATTTAATTTCTCAAGTAAATGCCATTACGCCACATATATTAGTGAAATTGTAAGTTTAATGTGTATAAAATCATATTTTCTTCGATTCTGAATAAGAAGAACCACATTTCTGTTGACAAGTTATTTGTTTTTATTTCTACCACATTGCAATTATCATATGGCAAAAAAAGAAACATAACTGAGATTGAGTGATATATAATTTCAAATAATATGCAAATAAACTATAATCTGTGATGACTAAATCAAAACTTTACAATGGTGACATTAGAAGCCAAAAATCCTCAATGCAAGAGAATAAAAAAAGAAATGACACAAAGTGCCTATTCCAAAAATCAACACAGTTAACACATGAATACTCTGTAAATTATATTCCATTGCATCTAGTATTTATGAAATCAAACATACAAAAAGCTCTCCAGCTAGAATGACAACTCATGAATGGCTGAGTGAAGTTTTTATTCAACACATGACCAGGATGCAATCCACACAGCAAGACAACAAAACCCCAAAAACACAACGTACTGGATACACATGAGTAAAAGAGTAAAATATATCTTTCCAAAACATAGACAGGAGCCCGTGTATCAAAATAGTCTGCGACATACAGAAATCTCAAGGCCTGACGTACTCACAGTCTGTTCAGATTTCAGTTCAACTGTTACTGTGTGCGGAGGTTAAATCATCTGGACAGCACGCAGACGTGGAAACTTTTATTCATAGTTAAAAATAAACAAAATCATTTGATACAAGAAACAGAAAAGACACAGTGTGTTAGTTCAGTCCTTTACAAACACAGAGGTTAGTGTTGCTGTGTGACCTTTCTGTCTTTCTGTAGATTATATCACAAGTCAAAAACTAAACTACACTCACCTGAACATGAATTAAAACTCAGGATAAATAAATGATTAAACTTGAGAGATCTCTAAAACCGTGTTCCTGTTAATTTGTTATAGTCGACTTATTTAAATTCATAAACTTGTTCTTCTTTCCTCCCTCCTTCCTTTGGTTGCATTGTTCCCAGGAACAGACAGAATATTCAGTCGTTATCTCCCTCTTTCCCGTCCTACTCTCATCCTTTAAGATGTGTTTCCTACCTTCTTTCCTTCCTCTGCTCCTCTCCGTTATTCAATATGTTTCTCATTGTCAAATTCAATACTTCTTGACTTCCCTGTCTGTATCTCTCGGCCTATCGGTTCCTCCCGAAGACCTTAAAACCTTTAAAAGCAGAAAGAAACTGTGCATTTGTTGGGGACTATATTCAGTGGCGGATTAATCCACATGTGGTGCTCTGGTGAGTGTTTGGAACAGCAGTGAAAAACAACAACGTAATTCACTGACAACAAGAAACATATAGAACTCTTTAAACGTCCTAACCCGATAATCAGACTTAAATTGATTTTTGTTTTCTGACTAATTTCGTTCACATTCTGCTTGAATCCGAGCCGATAGTCTAATATAGTTTGCTGCAGGTCGTTAAACAAGTTACAGATGTTTCTAATCTTTCACAACTTCTGTCTTCATGCATCCTTCCTCTCGTATTTCCCTCCTCTAGTTACATAATCGACAGCATGCTAGATTTATACCTTCTCTCTCTCTCTCTCTCTCTCTTTCTTTCAATGTAAGAAAATCTCCTTCCTCAGATATTCTGTCAGTTGGTATCAGCAGTCGGTGGTGTTCTGCGTATTCCAGCAGTTATTTATAATGAAGAATTTCTTTTTTGGGGGGTAAATCCACATCTTCTTATACTTCTTCCTTAGTTATGATTGCCTACATTTCCCAAAATGCCTTTCAATAACACCCAGAGAAGAAGCATGAAGCTGAAATATAAATAATATCTGTGTTTTTTTTTTTTTTACCTGTGAATCAATTTCTGTTTTCATAATCTACTAGAACAGCTGGAAACATCTGGATGTGATGTCCACAGGAAGAAGATCATCACCGACTGCTGATCTTATAACAGTGAGGGTGGATCTCATTCTTCGCCCACCTCCCCTCTCTCTCTCCCTCTCTCTCTCTCTCTCTCTCTCTCCCTCCTCTAGTTGCAACACTCCACGTAATTTGCCGGCAGCATGCCCGACTTTCCGGTCCTCTGCACGGTGCCGTACATCCAGCCCTCGTCGATGGGCTGAGCGTTGATGATGACGTCGCCGTCCCTGAACGAGACCTCGTCGTGGTCCTGAGCCGCGTAGTCATACAGCGCCCGGTAAACACGCTGCAAACAGCACGACAGCGAGAGGTTAGACATGTGGACTGCGAGGCTCCACAGAGACCTCTAATCCACCAAGGCAGATTAATATATATATATAAGGCCCCAGGACTTAATGTGAAACTTTGTTAACAACTAGTGGGGGTCGGGACCCTTGGGTTGGGAACCAGTAACCTAAATGGACCCAGTGTGAAACTGATGATGGGATCCTAAAATGAAGGATGAAACTCGCTTTGGAGCGTTACCATGGTGGCTGAGTGCGGCGGGGAGGTGACGGATCTGACAGACGACATGCTGGTCTGGTGCATGTAGCCGTGATACTGCTGCTGCTGCTGCATCTGGATGCCCTGATGATATGCTCCAGGAAGGACTGGAGCTGGGCGAGAGACACACAAACACACACACAGACAGAGAAAGAGAGAATAAGTCGGTTGAAAAGTCTTTCCTGCATCTCTTCGGTACAACAGTGCAGACACCTGAAGAGTCTCCCCGGCTGTGAGCACACTGAGTTTTGGGGAGAATTATGGGATTCAAACAGATAAAGATCCCCTCGAGACATGTAGTAAGACATATAAATAGTTAGTTTGGAACAAAAAAGTGTGTCTGACGTGACTCCTTCTACCTCATTAAAAACTCCAAAATCTATCAATATGCTAATTTTATCCATTTCTAAAGTTTTCTTGCTGGACACAAGATGTCTCCTCCTTCACTGTAAAGTCCATCCTCAGTGTCTGTGCACTGGTGGATCTCACTGTATGTTGCACACTGCATCAGGATTGACCTCCAAACTATTTGAGGTCAATCACAAATCATGTTCGTAAATAAGATGTTCAGTGAGCTCAGAGAAACTTTCCACTTTCAGCAAATTCATGTGAAAACATCCTCCTAGTTTCAAACTCTGCACAGACAGCATTCGAATATCACACTGTAGGAACAAGACAATATATTATTACTGAGTGGAGAGCTTTAAAGACCTGAAAGAAGTGAGTGAATTAGTCAGTTTTTACTTGTGGATTAAAACCAGCACTTCAAACAACGTGGAAGACACAAACACATGCAAGTGTGTGTCTCAGTCATCCTGCTACTGTGCGTCAAGGTGAGAAAGACGACACGAGTAAAGATACCGGGAGTTTCGCTGCTGCTGCGGTCCCAGAGGTCAGAGGTCAGCGAGCTGACAGACTGAGCCTGGCTGTGGGTGAGAGACTGCTGCGAGTGCTGCCTGCTCAGTCTGCGGTCGGCCCGCTCTAGCAGGCAGTCGCCACCAGGTGGCAGCACAGGGGCAGGAATAATCACAGTGCACAGAAACAAAGAGAGGGAAGAAAGAGACATAAAGTGAGCCAACGAAGAGAGAGTGAGGAGTTTTTACCCAGCACAGATACACATGAACATCACTGTGATATAACAGTGTGTAACATTGATCTATTGGCAGGAACTGAATATAATATTTATAGGTGTGTTTTCTTTAGCGTAGAATCTGAATATAAGAACTGTTTTTGTTTCCTAAAAATGAAACGTTTTTATCTACAGATGCCATATTTCTACAGTAGCCCAGAACGGACAAACCAAACACTGTCGGTAGTTTCTCTTCACAGTCCGTTCTCATTCCAAGTTAGTTGCAATCTGCCACTAAATCCTACACGCTGGTCCTTTAAGGGATAAGGCTGCTGATATTCTACAGTTAATACTGTCAACAAATCCCATGAAATGAAAAACAACACAAATACATAGTTTATAGTCATTTTTGTTTTTCTCAAACATTAAGGAGGAAACATCTGTTAGGGACTATTTTTAGTGGCGGATTAATCCACATTTGGTGCTTTAGTAAGTATTTGGGGCAGCAGGACGATGTATGTGGGATTGAGTCAAAATAAACTACATTGTATGTGTTAGTAATGAAAGTGCAACAGTGCAGCTCACTGATGTGTTTTTAATAGTTTTTGGACAATAATGGAGCTCTGTGAGTCTGAATGTGAGATTTATTGACTATGAGAAAAATATCTGACTGATTTGGCTGATTGAGAGAAGAAAACCATGAAAAACTGTGAATTCAATTTGATTATTACAGGAGCACGTGCTTTTAAACATCTTGTGAACATATTAATTCATTGGTGTGTAAGTTCTAGAAAGAAAATAAGGAAATAGAAACTAATTATTTATATGGACTTTACACACTGGAGGTAATTAAAACGAGTGTTTCATGCAAACACAACATCTGACGCCTTCGTCGTGATAAATTACAGCCTCCAAACATTGTTATTCCTCAAGCAGCCTCTTGTTATTTTAGTACGGCGAGGGGAGTCAGGTGAACTACCGGACATCCTGCGGAGGCTCTTGGACTGGATGTTGTCCTCCAGAGGGTCAAAGTCAAAGATGGAGCCGGGGTCTGTCCTCCACACCTTCAGGTCTTCAGAGAGGAGGCAGAGGTCATTTGAAGAACACGGACTATGCTTACATGGACTGTGTTAACAATCCAACATGTGTTCATGTGTCTGTGAATAGAACAAGTGCCTCTCCTCATATTAATCAGAAAGAGTTCAGAGTTCTGTCCCACCAGAGCAAATATCGATCACAATACTGTAAGTCGTATAAAATCATTTGAGAACCCCAAAAGTCAAAGCTGGATTCAGGATCCGTCGACTTTACCTGAAAACAGTAAATTTAAACCTATCAAAAAGCACCTGATAGACCCAGAGAGCAGCAGAGGGAGAAAGGTTTGATTGACCACGACGTCTGTCCTGCTTTCAGATGAATAAGTGACGTTATGAAACATGATTTCAGAATAAAAGCCTTCCTGTTCTTCGACAAAGGTGGTCTTGACTCCAGCACTGATATAAACACAACAGACAAAATGAAGGCGTCCAAACAGCTGGAACTATTCAGTCAGTACAGAATTCAATAAAAGGTTTGTGTGATTAAACGAAAGAGACACTTTAAGCAAGAAGAAGAGGGAGAAGATAAAGTGTTTATGAGCTTCTGATCGAGACATTTTTGTGATTTGTTTCATCATTATGATAATTATTGTTGTTATGGGTTTATTATATCTTGCAATCTTGCAATATCATATCTTAAATATGAATTTAAATTAGCTTTTTCAGTAAAACATCAACGAGATTTTCTTAAGAAACTCAAAAACTACTGTACCTACCTATGTATGTAAGCCTAAAACATATTAGAAGAACTGAAACTGAAAATTTCATCTGTAATTGAAACAGATGAAAATTAGTCCCTTGTAGAATAAATTAATGTATTTTCTTGCACCAAATGCGTAACTGCAATGCATTGTGGGCGACCTCTGGAGTGACTCACTCCCTCAGGGTTGACCTCACTTGGAACGACACTTCCACTTCCTGTCCATTAACAATGGTCCACAAAGGCGAAAGTGATGTTTCTCTAAAGCCAATAACCACATTTGTAACTTTAAAATGATTTCCCTAAAAGGCTTTTATTGTGAAACATCCTGTCTGTGGAAGTGTTGACTGTGATGAAGATCACCCTGAACATGTACTGAATCCTCTCTCACACACACAGCTCGGGGTCACTGACCTACGATGATGCCTCCTGGTCGTCTGTCCATCTCCACCGCCTGCGGGTGAATCCCTTTGCTGTATCCCGCCTCTCCCATCATCTGATTGGCTCTCTGGTAGCGCTCCATGCTGGGATCGTCCAATCCGGGCGTGCAGCCTCGACCGCGCGCCCTCTCAAAGTCCTCGTGGTACTTGGCCTGTTGGAGGGAGTTAACACACGTTTACACTCCAGCATCGATAACCTGGAAATAACACAGAGTTAATACACACACACACACACACACACACACACACACACACACACACACACAGGGTGCATTTGGTCAGTGAGCAAATAAAACACACAGGAAATGTATTTAAAATATTTTATTATCAACACACACACACGTCTTTCACCCAACGTACTCTCACATAGATCATGTCACACTGGATTCTCTGGGTTCAGATCTACCTGAGGACCTCCAGTGTCCAGCACACACACACACACACACACACACACACACACACACACACACACACACACACACACACACACACATGCACACACTGCTCTGTCCTCCACGCTGTCTGGCGGTCGGCGTTAGTAGCGGTGCGTCAGTCCCACCCGAGGTGCCACGTCACTCGTGTTAGCTCCACCCGCAGCCTAAGCGGCAACCAGTCTGCTACCATGGAGACCGAGTCCTGGGTCTTCCTGACACGCCGGTACTCGGGTGTGTCCAGCTCGGTGCAGCTCCGCCCCCTCATCTCCTGCAGACCACGCTGGTACTTCACCTGTTCACACACACACGTCATATTGTATATGATATTACCCTGAGAAATAAGTCAGTGTGTGTGTGTGTGTGTGTGTGTGTGTGTGTGTCTTGCCGAGCTGATGTTCTCCTGGTTCTGTCTGACTCTCTCCAGTTCTGGAGTCACTCCGATGCTTGTGGCCTTCACTGCGCTCTGCTTGTACTTCACCTGGTAGGAAGACGGACAGGAAGTGTTCTGTTATAGATCCTAATGAACTGAACTGAGTCACATTAGATGATCGTACAGTCATGAACACGGCCAGCTCACCAAAAGTGGAATGCAGCCATTTTTAACAAAGTAAAAAAAAACTGCCATGAACTCATTAGAGATGGAGTGCTGGCCTGGTCGCCATGACACCAGAGCTGGTCTGTGTGTGTGTGTGTGTGTGTGTGTGTGTGTGGTCCTGTTCTGTCTTCTTAATGGTAGATTGTTCTGCACAGTCAGCTAATGGCTGCTAATGACACTGCAAAACACACACACACACACACACACACACACACACACACACACACACACACACACACACACACACACACACACACACTTATGCATGTTTGCTGCTCATTTATCAGTTTATTTATTCACTGAACTGCTTCTGGGTCCACAAACACTCTGGCCTCCCACTCCATCACTTCCTCAAAACAACACCCATCCATTATTACCAACACACACACACACACACACACACACACACACACACACACACACACACACTCCTGCTGCAGCAAGGACTCAACCGTGGTTCACGACTCTACCAAGTTGTGTGTGTGTGTGTGTGCTCTGACCGAGCTGATGTTGTCCTGGTTGCGTCGGACTCGCTCCATCTCGGGTGTGTCCATGACAGCGGTGCCACGACCCACTTCGTCTCTGTACTGGACCTGAACAGAAGAACCAGCTTTAAAGGAGCAGCTTTCTACCACTGAACACAGCGTAGCTCAGAGGCCTGTTCATCAGTAGCTTCATTTGTGGTTTAACTGTTGAGATTTCAGAAGTCTTTTCTAATCCTTTTGCTACTTAATTGAGCAATAAAAATAATTCCTAGACTACAGATTATATCTTCATCCCTTCCTGAAAAGCCCATAATGAACATATTTTATGACATGAATGTGAGTTAATGTTCTGTACATGCACACGTACATCACTGATCTTCTTGGTGTTCTCTCTGGCCAGGACGATCTCTGGCGTCTCTGCTACGGACGACATCAGGCCTCTCATCAGCTTGGAGTCCCAGCAGTACCGCAGCTAGAGGGCGACAGAGAGCTGCTTTAAAAACACTACAGTCTGGGGCAAATTCACAAGAAGGATTGTGTCACTCTGATACAAGAGACATCCCGCAGAATATAAAGAATTATGAATGTGTATTTGGGACTAGATTAAAAGTGTGTGTGTGCTCACAGAGCTGATGTGTCTCTGGTTGGCTTTGACTCTCTCCATCTCGGGGGTTTCTGAAAGCATACTGTAGCTTCCCTTCAGACGCTCCGCTTCGTCCTTATACTTCTTCTGTAGGGAGGAAGAGAAGTTAGAAAGGTCGACTCTTTCTCCACTTCCAACGATAGATGTACCAGCGTCTTCCCTAACCCTAAGGAGGGACCTCAGAAATGATAAATTGCTGTATTAGGACTTTGGTCCCCACAAGGACTACAGGTCCACACAAGGTCGACGTTTATGTCAGAAAAGGTCCCCTGTAGGTGATAAAAACGTGTAAACACACAAACCTGGCTGTAGACGTCTTTGAGGTAGGAGGCGTGCAGCAGTTCAGGAGTGTCTGTGACGGTCCCGTATATGTTTTCTCTGAGCTGCTCCGTCTGCTTGTAGGACCTCTGTGTCACACACACACACACACACACACACACACACACACACACACACACACACACACACACCATCAGCTCATACGTTGTAACAGATGATCATCACTCCTGTTGTTGTCACCACTTTTCAGGTTCATTTTTACTTTTTTATGTCAACTGAAATCCAGCATGTGTTTTTCCACTATTATTAAAACATCTGCATAATTCTGCATTTGAGGATCAATTATAAACAAACTCTTCACAAGAAAATCAACAACTGTAAACTTAAAAATGGGAAAAATTAAAGTCACTAATTGAAGTTAAACACTAGGTTTGTTGTGATATACAGCACTTTGTTGTTCCTTCCTTCTATTAAGTCTTGTACACACACACACACACACACACACACACACAGTTACCTGGCTCTGGATCTCCGAGGCCCTCTTGGCTCGTTGTATCTCAAGAACGTCTGAGCTCACCTCCATGCCTTTACCCACAATCTCCCTCTCTAAATCTTTGCGGTACTCCTTCTGTGGATGCCACACACACACACACACACACACACCACCACCACACACAAACACACACTCAGGTCAGATCACTTGTACTATTAACGACTGTGTGTGTATCAGGTGTGTCTTTTACCTGGTTCAGTATCTGATTGGCGTTTTTAACCCTCAGCAGCTCAGGTGTGTCCTCCAGCCCGATGCCGGATAAGCCCCGCCCCTTCACTTCCTGCTCCAGGTCCTTCCTGTACGCCTTCTACAGACAGGGAGAGAGAGAGAGAGAGAGAGAGAGAGAGAGAGAGACTTTTTCAGCAACCAAAGCTGTGAGAAAGTCGTCAGCCTGTTTTAACAATGCTCGAGAAACTGTCTGTGAGTGTGTTACCTCGCTCAGCAGGCTGCTGGCGTGGAGAGCTGTCAGGTATCCAGGTGTCTGGTCTACGTCAACCAAGGCTTTCCCCTTCATCTGCTCCTCATAGTCCCTCCGATACTCTCTCTGACATACACACACACAGCAGAGAGAGAGAGAGAGTAAAACACTGTGTGTGTTCCCGTTAGAGAAAACCCTGAAATAACTAAATCATCTCTGGAGGAAGAAACACACAATTTCTCATTTCTGTTTCTTGTTTTTGGAGTTTTTCTCTTATTGGTCACTCACTCGTTCACATTCGACCAGCATATATTTGTCACACTGGTTCTGGTTTATTCATTTCAAGAATGGCTTTTATCTGTTCTTATCTCGCAAATGAGTTTCATATTTTATTCATTTCCCTGCGAGAGCTACACTCCTGTTGTATGCACGATTTCTCTGCTGAAGCTAATCTGCTACATGGCCATTAGTCTGCCCACTGCTCCTATGTAAATAGGATGGGTTAAATGCAGAGGCCAAGTTTCATTTCATGTATGTAAAAGTGCTGTAAATGGTGTATATATAATGTGAATATGACAATAAAAAGACTTTCTTCTTCTTCTTGCCTTTTCCAAAGCTAAACTTTAGCAATGTGTTGCAGCTGCTGAACGTCCCTGCAGCGGTTTAACAAACAGGATCGAGAGAAGAGAGAGTTTTACCTCACTTTGCATCTTCTGTGCTTCTTTAGACACTTTGTACGTCTGAGTGTCTCCAAACTCCATCTGAGAGCGACCTTTGCTCCTCTCATACTCCTCTCTGTACTTCACCTGAACCAACAAACACACAGACTCACTCGTTTATTAATAGAGAGAGAGCAGCAGAAGTAGAAATGGCAGTGTGTGTGTGTGTGTGTGTGTGTGTGTGTGTGTGTGTGTAACCTGGCTGTGCAGCACCGCGTTCTCCTTGTGGTGGAGCTGTTCAGCCGTGTCCAGAGGTATGTGGTAATGAGCCTTCGTCTGCTCGTACTTCTTCTTATACTCCACCTGAAAACACACACACACACACACACACACACACACACACACACACACACACAAATTTGTACTTTCAAACTTACACATAAGACACATAACAACTACAAATGGACACAAAACAACTAACAAACAACTCTTCCACTGTGCTCCTATAATGGAGGGGTACTTACGTTACTCTGCAGTTTGCTGGCGTGCAGAACGTGTTCCAGCTGCAGGAGGTTCGGCAGGTCTGAAGAACCCTCTGGTTTCTGGTTCTGGTTGGTTTTATACTTCACCTGGAGGACAGAGGAAGCGTTAAAATGATTTATCACTGGGAATGTACCACTATTTTCCAGGGATTTCTCGCTATATAAAGGAGAACATTTTATATTAGAGATGAAACAATTAATTAAGCGGTTGATCATCAATTAATCGTTTTTCGTCAATGGCAAACGTTAACTTAGTTCTAGCTTCTCAGTTGTGACAATTCACTGCTTTTCTTTGTCATATGTGAGAATTAACTTCATATTTAACTATGCAGGAAACAAGCAATGTGCAACCTTGGGCTGTAGGAAGTTATGATGGACAGCCATACTTTACAAACAGTAATCTTCAGAACAAGAACACACAGATCCAACACATCCAAGGATTCTGACTGACAGCCAATCACACTCACTCACTCCTCCAGCAGTGCTAAAATTAGGACTTTCTGGCTCAAGTGACTGACAGAGATGGTGGCGAGCAGTAAACCCTCCCTCCAGGCTTCAAAACATCACAAAACACTTAAGGGCCGTGTATTTCTGCACTCTGTGGAAGTGAACGCTGACAAGAGAACGATTTCCTCACACATCCACGTTTTTCTTTGATGTTTTGGTGCTAAATTCTGTTCCAGATTGAGCCAATTTGCCACATTCTTCTATCAGAAAAAGCTGCACTCGGAGAGCTGCCCATGCATCATGATGCTGAGAGTCTCTTGCTCTGTAAGAGGCTTTTCTAAAAAAGCAGCTCTCAGTGAACGTGCAGCGTTCCTGAACACCAGGCAGCGTTCAGCACAACAAGCTGTTACGTAACATTGTGAAGTGGAAAAGCTCTTTTTTCTGTGCCTGCGTGGGCAACAAGCGGACTAAAATCTGTGCATGTGTGTTTGTAGGGTTGCTTGGTCATCTTTATGTGGATCTGCATGTGTGTGTAAGGCTGTTCAGTTGCTGTGCGACTGCATGTAGCGCATGTTTGTATGTATGTGGGTGTCCACTGTGTGTGTGTGTGTGTGTGTGTGTGTGTGTGTAACCTCTGTAACTTCTCCAGCTCTCATCCTACAATCCCTCTCCATTTGCCTTACAAAGGTTGCCATGGTTACGCCCACACAACAGACTGAGTTTTTCGAGTGCGAGTCAAAGTGAATGAGGCACACACAAACACACAAACAGGCACAGTTTGTTCCTCTTGGACTCGTTTATCTTAATGTCTGAAAAGAAAAACATCTTCAGGTCAGATCTGATTATTTGTTAATAATTATTAATCTGCTCTGTGCAACAGGAGCTGATGTCCAACAGAGTCCAACACAACCTTATTAAATACTTTTCTTTAGTGGATAACAACAGTTAATCCATCCATGCTAATATTAGAGCAAAGCGAGCTAACTAGTTTAACTGTAGCCTAAGCACCTGTACGGTGTCGGCCTGGTGTTGGTTGCTTCGAGGTGTTGGCTGACGGGGTAATTTGTAAACGGCGAGCTAGTTAGTTGCATGGAGCTAATGGTAATATGACTTATTACCACTGATTTAAAACTGTGTGAGATCACCTCGTGGTTGACCCACCTGACTGGCCAGAGCAGCAGCAGCTTGTGTGTGTTTGAAGGAGACACAGTCGAGCGGGTTGTAACGAGGCCTCTGGCCCTTTAAATGCCTGTCGAAGCTCTCCTTATACTTCACCTGCAGGAGGAAGAGAGAAACAGGTAAATGAAGTCTCTGTCCCGAATGCTTCCCTATAAACTGCCTAATGCATGCTGGGTAGACCTGGTGTGTCTGTGTGTGTGTGTGTGTGTGTGTGTGTGTGTGTGTGTGTTACCTGGCTGGCCAGTTTTGAAACCTCTTTGGCGTGCTGGATGTCGGTTCTGGCCAACAGACAGCCGTCACTGTAAACTGGCAGCTTGGTGTTATTCCTATAGGCAACCTGCAGAAATCAAACAATGTAAGGTAACGACACACACACACACACACACACACAGAGAGAGACACACACACTAACATATGTACAGGCACTCTCACAAATAATTGAAGATGACACACAAAGTGGATACACAAAAATTGAAGGGCGATGATACTCGTTCTTGTGTAGGATGTTCGACTCTCTCTCTCTCTCTCTCTCTCTCTCTCACACACACACACACACACACACACACACACACACACACACACACACACACACACCTTGCACGACACTCTTACATAATGGCAGTTCAGTGTTAACAGCAGAATGTTTTCTATAATTAATCGGCGGCTCCTCTCAAGAGAACAGCTGGTGAATGGGACTCGTCGTCATGGAAATGAGTGTTGGACGCGGCATAGTGGCGCGTTCATACACAGACTCACGTCGCTGGCCAGTTTAGCGGCGTTGGTGGCGTTGACGATGTCAGGCCTGTCTGCGGCCGTGCTGTAGTGGTGAAGCTCCTCTTTGCCTTTTCTGTAGCCGACCTGGAAACCAGCAGAGGCACTTGTGACAAAAAGCAAACATCTACTCAAAATCAACTCTCTCAGTTCAGACAAACAGCCTTCAGAGTGTGTAAAACCTTTAGTTGCCTCTGATTCTCTCGGTGATAGTTCATTTTAAATGTCAATAAAAGCCGAATACGCCACAGAGCTGGTGCTATTGATCTGTAGTCAGTCCTCCCTGGTCCTTAGTCCGGACTCTGGGATGGACCACAGTTCAGTAATGTAACTCGAGGACTGCTCATGAAAAGGATTAGCAAAAATATTATTTGGACTTTTATTGCCTTCGATCAATAGTGACAGCTGTAGAGGGACAGAAAATGTAATAAATAAATAATAATAAATGTAAGCAGTGTGTAGGATGTAGCAACATGGTGGTTCAACATGGCGGACACAGTAGAAGAGGACCCTCGTCCCTCTGTAGATAAATGTGACATAAAGTAATATTTCTGTTTCGATTTGATTTGTTTGTTTTTTTAATTTCATTTATTTTAGAATTAATGGAAAAGTAAATAAATGCAGAAGCATATTTAACATACTTTTATTTTTTAATATTATTTTTGGTGCATTTAATGGAATTTATCATGGTCATTTATTTATTGCTTGTGGCAGCTTCAGTCCTCCACAGACCTACTTTAAAACTCTTGATAAAAACAAGGCTGAATTAGCTTAGTTAGGTGGTGATTAAAATTCTCTGCCATGCTCTTTGGATAAATGCAACCTGCTGGCAATGCTACACACAACAAAAATATTCATCTTTTGTGCTGTGAACACTGAACTGCTCACAGATGAGCTGGTGTTTAGTTCTCGCCTGGTGGTCGCCCACACAACCGCAGAGCAAAGTGTTACATAACTGCTTGTTTTGTGTTTTTTTTCTGGTAATATTTCACTGAGGTACAGTACAAATGTGTGTGTGTGTATTTACATCGCTCTGGTTCTTGTTGACCTCCATGGCGTGCTCCACCTCCGGCAGCGTTTTCATGTTGGTGTAGCTGGACTTCCCCTTCTCTCGATTAAACTTCTCCTTATAGAACTTCTGCAGAGAGGGAGGGAAGAGAAGAACGAGTGAAAGAGAGGCCAGAGGAAAAATGAAAAAGGAGGAGGAGAAAAGAAGGCAGAGAGGCAGTTAAATAAAGAAATAATGAGCGTGATGGATTGAGGGAGAAAATATCTGATGACTAATTCAGCCTGGTGCTGAATAACGAATGAAAACCTTCTCGTTCATTTGCCTAAAAATAAGACGAGCAGCTTCCAACTGTGAAAATGAGGAATTCACAGCATGGCGCAGAAATGAATATTAAACCGAGGGAAGATTAACAAGCCTGAAAAACAAACCTGCTGCCTTCTGTGTTTGGCTTTAGATTAAATCATTGTGTTTGCTTTCTGAATTAATAAAATGTTTCGGTTGGTGGACCTTCATCAGGTAAAATTAAAGCATATTTGCTGAACATAAGGTGTATAAAATGATAAACAATACACAGTAAATCCATCAGGCACACGTCATACAATATACAATTATACATTAAAGGGTTGTAATGTGTAAAATGATGCTTTTGAAAACATTGTAGGGACTTTTAAGGCTACGGGTGAATAGGGTAAAAAAGTATTACCTACATTTCAGAACGGAAATCTGATAAAAACAGGTTCTCTTTTACTATAAATTAGAGAATATATTTTTGCCATGTTTTTAGGAATAAAATGTTATAATAATGATTATAACTCAAGCTATGAAAGATATATAAAACAAATCCCTCTGTATGAATCTTCAGAATATAAATAGGAATAAAACTGGAAGGTTTGGTGTATGTAAGTGCTACTGTGGAGATGTTTAGCTCAGAGTATTTCACAGATATCACCATGAAACCTCCCCTGTTGGTTACTTACATAATACAATTATGTTTTGTATTATAAGTTTATTAATTCATTATGCAAATGAGGCTTTAACTAAAGCTAACTTTAGGAGAAAAAGTGATTCTGTGGCCACAAAATATTCCATGTAGATGACCCCCTGCGGCTACTTCAATGGAATATATGGACATTTTATCACCATACTGTGAGCCGCTGCTAACACAGTGTTACACAGACATACACATTCCTTCAATGGACAGCTACCAATACGTCAGTGCTAAGAAGATAAATACACTGATCAGGAGAGCGAGCTCTGTCCTGGACTGTCCTCTGGACTCCATAGAGGAAGTGGTTGAGAAGAGGATGTTAGTGAAGCTGACATCCATCATGGACAACACCTCTCACCCCCTGTATGACACTGTGGGGTCCCTGAGTAGTTCCTTCAGCAGCAGACTGTTACACCCTCGGTGTAAGAAGGAGAGGTTCAGAAGGTCTTTCATCCCTGCTGCTGTCAGACTCTACAACACCTGATCATGTTGTAGTTTCTGTTTCCAATTACCACCACTACTCACCATAGCTTTTATATCTGTCTCTTATCTGTATTTATTTTGTTTACTCCAATTACTTACTTGCTGCTGTGACGAGTGAATTTCCCCGTTGTGGGATGAATAAAGTATAATCTAATCTAGTCTAATCTAATCTAAGTATGGCAATGACGGTTCAGGTGTGAATGGAGGCAGGAGTTGAATTGGCAAGAATATGACAAATATCAGGAGTTCCTGGCCAGTTTCCTCAACTTGTTTTTACAAGTTAACACTCGGGCCACTAAAAATGTACATATTTAGGGGCTTGGTGATTAAAGATATTAGTGTCCATCACTGAAACCACACAGATAATAATAATAAAAATAACCTGTTTGGTAACAAAAACATCACACAATATTTGGCCTGCACTTGTTCAGCCTGTGGGTCTGAGATCAGGTTTATTGTAACCGTGTTTCGCAGACACTGGGACAGTCTGGGCTGCTGTTGTCGAGGTAGTTATCCGCTCCAGTTAGCGTCACATTGCTCGGTCAACAGACATGAAACCAGAAAGCGTCGGGCCAGTGCCCCACTTTACCCCGAGCTTTGATTTGCTGCCTTCTGGGCCGACTGACAGCAGACAATAACCCTCATCTGTGAACACTTAAACGTTGTTTATCAGACTGCAGCTTCATTAGATTTATGGTGTGATCTGAACACTTCTGCAGCTGCTTCAATGTAAAAGAAAAAAAGCCGTACAGCAACACTTTTCATTTCTTCAGAGTCGTGGTGTGATCAGTTCATCATCGTCTCTTGCAATATTTAAAACAGTAGAGCTGCGATTTGGTCCCATTTGTGTCACACAGACTCAAACTGCCCTAAAATACCTGCAGGACTGTCATTAAATGAAGGCAAACTGTGAAACAGCTGCCTGATAGCAAACTGGAGGTTAAAGCCGCTCCACAGAAGCAGGTCTAAAGCTCAGCTTGAGCACATTTCTTGCACTCCTGTTTTTTATAAATAATGAAATAAATGTGATGTTCAGGAGACTCATTACACACATTCCTCCAGCTGTTGGAGACCAAGTGGATCATCTGAGGCAAATCATTATCATATAGTCCGCTCAGTGGTGGTGAAAGGTTGATAAAGTTTAGCAATATGTACTCTGAGCATAAATTTAAAGAAGAAACTAAAGACTGTCCTTAGTAATATTATCACTAATTCACATCACTGCCAATATGAAGAGTTTTGATGCGACATATTCGGAGGCGAGTATTTTACATTTTCTCTGGTGCGACAATTCATATCTGTGCACTTTAATTTGTAATTTTTCAACTTCTATTTTTATTTTATTATTTCTCTTCTCTTTTAATTCATTTGCACTTATTTGCTTTTGTATTATTTTCCATAATTCAATTTATTATTATCTTAAAAAGCATGAACAATTGAGGCGTATATGTTATTTGTATACTATCTTGGTAAAATTAACAGAATACAAAAAAAAACACAGTGCTCTTCGTTTTTTGCTTTTCATTGTGGAATAAAGAAGATGGAAGGATTTTTGCTGTTTGTTTGTTCTAAAACAGCCTTGTTGTACCAGTATTCATCTAAAGACCTGATCCATACAGGATTCACTTGGTTTGCTTTACAGTTCATTTAGTCACTGAAGTCCAGATCCTCCATCGTTCGGGGCTCCAGGTCGACCCCCTTCATCTGTCACAAGCATTATAAAGCTAATTTATATCTGTGGGGTTTTCAGACGTGTCAGTTTATGTGTCTGTCCCAGTTTATGAGCTTCAACCTGCCACTGCTGTGTGTGTGTGTGTGTGTGTGTGTGTGTGTGTGTGTGTAGGCAGTAGGTCAGTGTCTGTGTCCTCAGGCAGTAGAGCACAGCTGCTCTCTGTGTTCATGCCTCAGCAGACAAAATGATACCAATGTGTGTGTGTGTGTGTGTGAGATTGAAACTTAGAGCATCTTGGGATGTTGCTGATTAAATGCTTCCTATTTGCTCTTTAATTAAAAATCAGAGCCACTCTCTCTCCTCCTCCTCTCTCCTGCTCTCCTCTGAGCTCTCCTCTTTTTGTTTTAGGGTGGATTATTATAATTACATTATTGGATTATAATATAAAGGCTTCACTTTTCTGTCATTCATTTTTTGCAACAACAACATGAATGACGGCTGATCTGCTCTGAGATACTTTGCGGGGAAAGGAAATCTGATCAGATAACTGATAAAAATATCTACGTTAAGATGTGACAATGCTTACAGTTTTAAGCATTGAATCCCTTATTCAACAAATGAATCCCTTATTTGGTATTTTTTCATTAAAAGGCACAGTTTGAAGCTATTAGAGAAGCTTGTTTTGCATACGTCTGATTACGTCACACAGTGAATGTCCCAGAGTTAGACTCACGTCGCTCTGCGTCTTGGTCAGCTCTTTAGCGAAGACCGTCTCGATGGTTTGGGGCATCTGGGCGTACAGACTGCAGCCGGCTTCCTTCTTACTCTCCTCTCTGTATGCTTTCTGCAAAAAGTTATATAAAGGTTTGAAATATAATCTTATCAATATCATATGAATTATGTTTAGAGATCCCTGGGATTAGTGTTTGTGCCAAACACTGAACTTTTCAGTTCACAACAACAATTTCATAAACCTTCCAAACAATATCATTACAATATGGTCTGAATGTCGGTGTATGAATGAAAGAAAGAATTATGTCCATCAGTTCCACACAAATGTTTACAGATTTTAAATGTGGGGGTACAATCTGAATCTGTACTGGGGGGGGGAGTCTGGCTGATGCAACTATAATTAGACAGTTTGGTGTAATTAACATTACAAAACGGGATCAAAATGATGTCGACCTCGATCTCACGCCAGAGGCTTAGTGTTAACTGTAATTGGCACCACATTTCCCATAAGCACCATTGCTTCCTCTTCATCTGCTTTTATCGTGAAATGATTTTCTCATTAGCTGCACAAACTCTGGTTCTAACTGCGTAACGTGTTCACGCTGTAAAATGAGAGAATGAATTATATGAGTATGTTATAAAACACTAATTAAAAATGCCAGTGTTTGTGTGTGAGGGTTGCTCTGTACCTCGCTGTACAGCTGAGATTGCTCCTTTGCATGTTGAGTGTCTTTGGTCTCCGGCAGCAGAGAATACAGACAGCTAACCAGCTCCTTCTTCCCCGCCTCCTTGTATTTACTCTGGAATGACAACATTAGATCAGTAACTGCGCAGTGACAGAGCGTACAGTCCCACACACCTCGCTGCAAAGACATGAGCAACACAACAGGAATCTTTTGTCTTGTGTTGTCAGCATCCCTTGTCTTGTTTCAGCTGTTTTTGTTTGGAGCACCAAGGGACATATTCTTCATTCTGCTTCAAGTACACAGTCACTTTTTACTGTGAGCTAGTTCCCCTTTCTGTTTTAAAATGAATAGAAACAGAATTTAAACATTTACTGTTTGCTGTGTAATCAGGGTTATTAAGACAGAATGCAGGAAGGTTTCACATTATTGTGTCTATTGAGTGTATTTTCTAGGTAATAAAGTTGATAGTTTAACTGAATATAAACTCGTTTGCTGATGACATTAAACTGCAGTCCCGTTAGTGGCTGATTCAGAGGAACAGGGAGATTTCCGGTGGGCCATTGAGACGGTCGGTAAACAATCATTTTATAAAACAGATGAAGTAGTTCCACTCGCAGAAGCCCAGGAGGTTGCAAGCGAGAGGGACTTGGTAGAAGATGTGAGTATATAAAAAAGACAAGATGGAGCTTAAAAAGGCCAAAATAACAGAGAAAAAACAGTCCAAGCTGAGGCGGCCAACAGTGCCAATCTCAGCAACTTGTTTCTGATTAAAAATTGCGGCTTGAGACTGAAAGTACAGAACAAGCAGCAGACGTTGATGGTGACGATGTGACCGGTATGATAGCTGAATATAAAATACTATGAAATGAGCGGATAAAGTCATATTTTAGATGCATGAGTAACAAAGCAGAGAACCTAAAGAGAAGCACAACACAGCAAATGTTTGTGTTGGAGCCACATGCTGTGAGTTAGATTCAGAAGTTCAGCGCTGAATCTTTTGATTAATTATTAATCATAATGTTGGAGATAAAACCCAACACACAAGCTGGCTATTTCAGGCAAACACACACTAAAATATTCACACTGACACGCAGAGTGAGTGTTTCTCACCTCGCTGTGTGTCTCAGCCATCTCTTTCACAAACTGAGTCTGCAGAGTTTCAGGCAGCAGGGAGTACAAAGTGTTGGGCAGATCCTCATTGTCCTTCTTGTACTTTGTCTGAGAGAGCAACACACACACACACACACACACACACACACACAAGTCAAAATAAAAACAGAAGCTGTTATGGAAATATGCAGCAATAACTTTTACACACATGCACACACACACTGTTACTGCCTCTCACCTCACTCTGAAGTTCAGAGATCTGCTTAACAAACTCCATCTCTTTGGTCTCCGGCATCTGGTGGAAAACACTGCTGCTCATCTCCTGTCTGCCTTTCTGCTTGTATTTATTCTGCAACACACACACACACACACACACACACACGCACCAGAACTTCCTTTCAACGCATTTCTTTAATGAACAAACAAAAATGGCTCCTACACATCCCTCTGCATATTATATTACAATGTTAGTATAGTAACTCAGTTTGTGTATAAAAGCACATAAGATGAGTGCATGTTAGGTTTATTTCTTTACAGTTCTTCAGCTTGTAAACTAAATGAGCTAAATTTAACTTTTCCGTTCTGGAAAATGAACCATGGGTGTGATCACACACATCGTAACCGTCCACCCACCTCACTCTGGAGCTCCATGGCGGCTTTAGCTAACTTCATCTCTTCCGTCTCGGGCAGCGCAGAGTACAGGTTGGTACTCAGCTCTTTCTTACCTCCTTCCGTGTACTTCAGCTGCAGAGGACAGAGAGGACACTGGGCTGACAGCAGGAAAATGACATTAAAACTGACTGAAGACGGTGAGAGAACTCGATAAATTAGTTGTTTTCTTTTTCAGAACGACCTGAGCAAACATCAAACTTCAAAAATTCTGAGAGTGAAGCTGGACAGCGACGCAAAAATAAAACAGATAAAAAATTGAGGCAAAGATTTCAGTGAGTTTAAACCTCTTGTTCTCCATTCAGAAGTCTTGAATGTTGGATTTTCCCACCTACATAAACACACCAATCTGGGAGACACTACAGCTGTGTTACAGCTCCAGCTCCACAAAACGGAAAAATGTGTCTGTCTGACTGAGGGTGAGACACAGAATCCCAAAGCAATGCGACACCTTCCCGTAGGGTTGTGCAGAAGTGTGGGCGTGTTCATTTGTACTTTAGAGCCTTACTGCTGTGTAACAATCAGAAAATAACCTTTTATTTCTCTGATTCATTGCTTTGTTCTTGCTGCTCCCTCTCTTTATTCACTTTCTAGCTCGCTCAACCACCACAGCTCTCTCTCTCGTTCACTCTCTAGGTGACCAGGGCGAAATCTGTGAATCATATTTTTACATACAGCAACTGACAAATCCTACTCATTATGCCTTTAACTGTGATGGATTATCAATCTAAAGCACCTTTGCTGATGGTCAATCTTTTAAATATACTGAAATGAATAGAAACTGGTGCAACCGTAGATGTTGGGAAAATGCATTGATCAGTGTAAAACATGACAGGAAAATGGTCCGCAGTAATGTACAGTGTGTCATTTGTTGATAATACACTACTGTACATGTGAGTGTGTGTGTACCTGACTCTGCAGCTCAGTAGCCTCTTTAGCATGGAGCGTCTCCAGAGTTTCAGGTAGCTGGTGGTACAGACAGCTGCTCGCCTCCTTCCTGCTCGCCTCCTTGTACTTGGCCTGAAGGAAACATCAGCTGTTAGCCGCCGTTTACGCCTCATGCCTCAATTCGGATTGACCTAAAATTGTGCTAAATTTGAGGTATTTTAGGTTGTATGGTGGCTCAGTTGTGAGCAGTGTCGAGGTCCTGAGCTTGAATCAAGTGAAACAACAAAGACATAAAGAAAAAAACTAATACAAGTAAAAGTAATGGTGGTGTCTCTCACCTCGCTCTGCAGCTCAGAGACAGTTTTAGCAAACTGAGTCTCTGCAGTTTCCGGCAGCTGAGAGTAGAAGCTCTGAGAGAGGCTCTTGATCCCGTCCTCCTTGTATTTGCTCTGGACAGAGAGAGGCAGAGGACACTGAGGACACCGTGACGAACACCATCAAACTCTTCCAGACGTCAGGGATAAAACAGACTGAGAGGGAGACGGAGCAATAACATCCACATGTATGTAAGCGCATGCGTTACCTCGCTCTGCAGGTCGGACATCTTGGCGGCGAGTTGCGTCTCGGCGGTTTGCGGCAGCTGAGCGTACAAACTGGACGACATCGACTTCTTCCCGCTCTGCTTGTACTTGTTCTGAGGGAACCAGAAGCAGGTCAAATCACTGGATCGTCCTTTGCATCATCTCACAGGGTTTCAACAGAAAATATACTTTGAATTGATTCTTAAATTTGAGGATTTGCTTTTCTTTTAATCTTCAACTATTGTGAATTTAATATATTTGGTTTGTTTTGACTGGTGGTCAAACACAGTAAGCAATCAGAAGAAATACATTCAAAGTGACAGCTTACTGTTCCAATGCTAGTCTGTCTGACTAATCGTGAGCCAGTGAATGAATGAATGAATGAATGAGCTCCACACATAAACCAAGCAGCCACATTTCTCACCCCAGCATATCAGCAATCTAATGTTCTCACATTCTGGTGGAGAGAGAAAGCAACATTCATGGGAGAGTGTGTGATATTTCCATAATTACACTCTCAGTTTTCTCAGTTTAGTTTGTGGTTGTTGTTTTTTTTCTGCTGAATATCTGAGTTATATTACATAAACACTTGTGTTCCTCAGTGAGATAATGCTGACAAAATGTTGCCGTCACCGGACCGTCTGCAAACAGCATCGCAAATATCCGCTGCATTTAACAAAGTGTGTTCAAAGTGCAAAATATTATTCATTCATGAATTCTTTAGAGAGTAAAGCTGCACTCAGTTTCAGCTTCTCTCTGCCCGACAGGACAGCGAGTGCAGCTGAGACAGGAGGCTTGGTCTCAAACCCGTCTTTACATGAAATAACATCAGGGCAAGTTGTGAGTCTGCTGCGGGACAAACCGAGCATGTGAGTAATGGATGCGTGTACCTCGCTCTGCAGCTCAGTAACCTCTTTAATACGCTGCGTCTCCAGAGTCTCAGGCAGCTGGTGGTACAGAGAGCTGCTGGCTTCTTTCTTCCCTGCTTCCTTGTACTTGACCTGCAAGAAAAACAGGTCAACTTTGTGTCATGATTACAAATGTTTTCAACACGTGTCCATCTTTTTAGTTACTGCTGGCTTTGACTCAGGGTTGTTAAATTGTCAGGGAAAAGCTTTTAGGGCCATTTGCTTTGAAAGGAACCAAAAAAAGGAGACTAACATTGTCGCTATTTTGTCTCTAGATGTCGGATTCACATAAAAACCCAGCAGCTGAAAGTGACGGGACATCAGAGGAGAACACGTGAAGCAAACAGAGAGAATGAGGTGAGAGATGACAGAGCTAAAATAGAATAAAAACACTCTGGATTAAAATTATTGAAATTAACTAAAACTAAAACTAGGTGTGAAAAAAACTGTGAAAAGTTGGGTGCTAACTAACCGCCAACTAAAATGAAATCCAGCCCCTGACAAATTAATTTTAATAAGCAATAAAAACTAAATTGAAATAAGCAAATCCACTCTGGGAACTATGTGAAAGTGAGAGAGAGAGAGAGAAAGAGAGAGAGGTATCGGGCAGCCCTGAATGTGTTACTGATAACACGACCAGAATAGACAACAGTGGTCAGTTTATCTGCACTGTGTTAACATGCTGGAGTGAATGAGACGGAGCACACACACCTCCCCTCATTTGTCTCTGAGGACATTGCATTGACGTATATGTTCCTTTAAGACCTGAACCTTCAATGGTGTTGTTCATTTTCTTAGAAAGACAGAAGACAGAAGTGTAGTCCACCTCTTTCTGACTTCCTGTCTGTAGCTCGCCGCTGACAAAATGTCTCACAAATATCTACGTTCATTGTTTCAAACATCTGCTCACTGTAGTTTCAAACAATAGTTCATCTGATGGGGACTACTTTCAGTGGCGGATTAATCCTAGTGAGTGTTTGGAGCAGCAGGACGGTGTTTGTGGGAGTCAAAATAAACTACAGTGTCTGTGTTCATGGTGATGAAGTTTAGTTTCTGGAGCTCTATTTAAGAAGATACATCAGGATACAGGTTACACACAAACTCCCTGCTGTTGATTCAGGCTGCTCATTTGTTTGACTATTTTCCAGTTTCATGAATTATTGGTTTACTTTGTAGGGAGCAGCTTTTTGCCCCGTCACTATAATGTGACAGATTTATGTCCTCACAACATGATCGGTAAGTTTCCCACCTCGCTGTGTGTCTCCGCCATCTCTTTCACAAACTGAGTCTGCAGAGTTTCAGGCAGCAGGGAGTATAAAGTGATGGGCAGATCCTCGTTGTCCTTCTTGTACTTTGTCTTGATTCAAAAAATAAAAAAAGGAAATAAAAACGGTGAAAACAGTTATTTCATTTTGAACCACTGAGTTATGGTGTGAAATCCACAAAGCACCCACAATAACAGACTTATGTGCTTCTTTGAAGTTTACACTATAGGAATTCATAATATCTAACTAGAAGTAATGTAAAAATAAATTTGTTTGCTTATATAAAAATATAAATAACACAATTATATCCACATCTGGTGGCATTCATTATAAAAACAAACACTTCAATAATAAATTCCTCATGGGATTCCAACTGTATGAGGCATTCAGGGTCCTCACCTCACTCTGTATCTCCGACATGTGCTTAGCAAAGTGGATCTCCGCCGTCTCCGGGAGGAGTGAGTACAAGTTCTTACCGATCTCCTTCTTCCCCTCTTCTTTATACTTCACCTACCAAAGAGCACACAGAGCTCTCACTTTACCGAACGGACCACACAGACACCCAGCAGTGACGCTCTTTAACGTGTTCCTCACCTCGCTGTAAAGGTCTCTCAGCTCTTTGGCCAGCTGTGTCTCGGTGGTTTCGGGCAGCTGGTGGTAGAGAGAACTGCTCACCTCCTTCCTGCCGTCCTGCTTATATTTCACCTGCACGAAGACAGAACGGAATAGAGAGAAAACTGACTTTCTGACCAGGTTTCAAGTTGAAATTGCAGCTAAATATAGTAAAGAAATAGAAAAGTGTACAAATATCCAAAGTTAGATATATATTTCAGTTACTTCTGGATGAACCAGACAACAAGTGAGGGTTTAAAGTCAGGAAGAAGGTTGTTGGACACAGACACATACTGGTTCCTGGTTGCAAGTCCAGTGGAAAGGAAGTACCGTTCATATAATACAGGACCTGAACACATCACGCTGTACCTGTACGCACCTGACTCTGCAGCTGTGAAACCTCTTTAGCGTGCAAAGTGTCCAGAGTCTCAGGCAGCTTCGAGTACAGAGAGCTGGACGCGTCTTTCTTCCCTGCTTCTTTATATTTGGTCTAGAAAATCAGACAAAGATGATTTTGTACGAACATATTCCACCTTCATTCATTTTTAAAACAGTAAGCACATTAAAGAAAAATAACAAACTAATAAGAACAGAAGAACTCTAAAAAGATCCTAATAACATGCTGTAGTTGTTAAATGAACCACCATACCTCACTCTGTATTTCAGACACAGCTTTGGCAAACTGGATGTCGTTGGTCTCTGAGAGCTGAGAGTAAACGCTGACCGTCTGGCTCTTCTTCCCACTCTCCTTGTACTTGTTCTGGAAACAACAAGACAAACATTTTATTACTGTAACTGCAGTAGTCTTCTACAAACTGTGCACATCTTGTATTCTCACATGTTTTTGTAACTTATTTATCTACAAGCGTGTTACAGAAGCAGGATTAACTCTCACTGCGAACATTTCTTTTTCTTTTCAGACTTTTCCCTTTTTTACCGTCTTTGAGGTTAACTTGGTTCAGAGTCTTTTAGTGATGGACATTAAGGCTTTGAGCTCAGCTGGTGTGAGCAGAAGAAAGAACCCCTCTGATTTTTATTCTCTAAGAGTTTGTAGTTCAAGTGCTTCTCATGCAAGGAGAAAGCAGGAACAACCACAGAGATCGAACTGCACACAAAGGCTGAAGAACCATAAAAACAATGGTTACTGTAAATGTTCTGATTTGATCCACAGCACGAGTATCTTACATACTGTAATCAGTCATTTCCCTTGGGATAAATAAAGCTTCTTGAATGTCTGCAAACATTTACTTATACTTCCATTTTATGCTACTTTTTACTTCACTGCATTTATCTGACAACTTTAGTTACTAGTTACTTTGCAGATTCAGATTATTAATTCAAAATATAAATCCTCTAATAAATTACAATGTTCCCAGTTAAACTGTTAACTAATATATGAAGTAGTTGAAGTAGTAACACTTACATAATTTTACTTAGGTAAGAGTCTATTCCCACTGTAGTGTTGCTTCTTTCACTTAAAAGAATTAAAAGGGGAAACACATTTAAATATTTAAGAGTTAAAGAAGTGAGTAACATCAACCAACATGTAAGCTCAAATCAAACTAGTCATAATGTAATAAGCTACGTGTTTGTGGTACCAAAAGCAATGGGTCAGTGTGTGTGAGTGTGTGTGTGTGTGTGTGTGTGTGTGTGTGTGTGTGTGTGTGTGTGTGTGTGTGTGTGTGTGAGCTATACCTCACTCTGTATTTCAGTCATCTCTCGAGCGAACTGTGTCTCCGAGGTTTCAGGGAGCTGAGAGTACAGAGACGACGCCATCTCCTTCCTCCCTCCATCTTTGTACTTTTTCTGTCGGAAACAAAGAAAAGTGAAAACTGCTGGATGGGATTGTTCTCCAGAACCAGTCTTAGTTTCACCCAGGCATCTCTTTCATAACCAGTTTATGATATTAAAGGTCCAGTGTGGAACATTGAGGAGGATCTATTGGCAGAAATGGAATGTAATATTGATAGGTATGTTTTCATTAGTGTATAACTAGAATGAATGAGCAGTTTTTATCTGTCTGTCGAGCCATGCAGACAGTTTTGGTTTTATTTGTCCAGGTTTTGAATTCTGTTGCTAAGATTTTGTAAGTGATGGAAAAAAATAGACAAAAAGCATATTAACCCAAAATATATATATATATAATCTAAACAAATAAAACCGAAACCCAAAGTGTTTGCATGAAATAACAGTGTGAACAAATACGTTAAAATGTTGGTGAATCAACACTTTATCCAGTACAACCAGTATTTATTTTGTTGTCTTGCACATACTGTGAAGTGTGTGTGAAGAACTGATGTCTTCTTGGTTTAAACTGCTTTTCCAAAGTCTCTAAATCATATTTGAATTTGACAGATGGAGAGAAAGAGACACAAATAAAGAGATAAAGGGAGAGAGACTGAATGGTAGAGAGACACTCACTTCACTCTGTAGTTCAGTCACTTCTTTGGCGTGTTTGGTCTCCAGAGTTTCGGGCAGTTTGGAGTAGAGAGACGACGCTGTCTGCTGCTTCCCAGCCTGCTTGTACTTCAGCTGACACACACACACACACACACACACACACACACACACACACACACACACACACACACACACACACACAGAGTAAATGACCACTTCCACTACAGTCACACCAACCCTGTGCACTCTATCAAACCCACCACAGTCCTCCACGAGACTCTGTTACTACCAACTAAACAAACCACTATCTTCTTTCTTTTGACCACTGTTATCAGTCAGACATCCTATTGGTTGTTGCTATAGCAACCGTTCTGTGACATCATCAGATTTATCAGTTGTTGACCATTAGTAATTCAGCTTTACGCCCTGTTTGACCTGACATAGCTGAAACATTTAAATATGGGATAAATCAGTGGTTCCCAACCTTTTTTCTTTTACATATTTTATGGATATTTCACATTATATTCAGTGTTTAAAAGACAGAACAACTTGCACAAAGTTTGTGTAAAGTTAGTGATTTGGATGAATTTTGAGCAGATTATTGAGATGATTTTTCATTATATTTTTAAGAACTTTTTATACAATTCTCTGTCTGTATTATGTTATTATTTTGTTTAACAATCATACATACTGAAAAGGCTTATTTTTCTCTTCTTGACGCTTGTTCTGTTAGCTCTTCGGTTGTTATAACTGCATACTTTTTTAATGCAGGGTGATGAGTTATAGGCCTGTTGTGTAAATTCTTAAAGTTTTTTTACACCCCTCAAAATCAAGAAGGCCTCGCAACTCTCTGTGAAGCTAGTGTAGTAGTCCCACTGGGATAAATGAAAGACATCGTTGAAGGTCAGATAGTAATAGTGTCTTATTTTGTTACCATCCAGTCTCCATGTAAATACCAGGTGAATAGCAGACTATAAACTAGATTCTCCTGATCAGTGTTGACGAGTAACAGGAGTTCCTACCTCGCTGTGTGTCTCAGCCATCTCTTTCACAAACTGAGTCTGCAGAGTTTCAGGCATTATGGAGTATAAAGTGATGGGCAGATCCTCTTTGTCCTTCTTGTACGTAACCTGAAGAGGAGACAAAACGGCCAAAACATGTAAACAGAGAAGTGGAAAAGGAGAGAATAAAAGTCAGAATGGAGCGCCACCGCACCTCGCTCTGGATCTCCGACATATGTTTGGCAAAATACATCTCCGCCGTCTCGGGGAGGAGGTGGTAGAGCGACGAGGACGCATCCTTCTTACAGCCCTCCTTATATTTCACCTGCAAACACACAAATCATGACACAGGTCACAGGGCACAGTCTGAGGAGGCTGAAGAGTTCAGGAGGAGAGCAGCTGTGTGAAGGTGCATTGAGACTGAACGCAGACAATGGACAGGAAAGCATGTAGACAGGTTCTGTTCGAGGTGGAGTTGTACGACTGATGCATGTTTGTTGATTCGGTATTCCTAGAGAGGAGTTCTTTTGATGAATTTCAGAGTGATAAAGTTTGTCTTGGAGGCAGAATCTATCTGTAGCTGTAGCTTCAAACACTTTGTGTTCAGCTGTCATTGTCGCCTAAGTAACATCTTATTTTTGGAACACCCTCCTCCTCCTCCTCCTCCTCCTCCTGCACTGATATGGAGGCGTTGTAACAGCTTGACCAGCCCAGCATGGACAACAGCACTGAAAAAGCTTTGTATGTGGGGGAAAATGAGTGTTATATTTTCTGGCAATATCTGTACTGTACTGTCATACTTCACATGATTTATGTATGTTTTTACTGGTTTGTGGCTGAGACTGAATCTAAATCTGATGACATTCAATGGGGGTGTTTGGTCACTGTCAATCAAATCTGATAAAAACACACACACACACACACACACACACACACACACACACTCTGATGAAGCAGATTAGCTGAGTTTCTGATTCTTTCGTTCGTTCTTAAGTCCCCCTCCAGTAAAAATCAGTGTTTCCTCTGGTTCCTACAGTTGGATGTTTGAGCTTCTCAGTACAGAAGGATGATTTGACTCTAGCAGGGTGTTTCCACATTCATCTGCGGACAGTGGAAAGTTTGATTTTTTAAGGGGCAGAGCTTATGAGCATGATGTGTGACATAACAAGTAGTTTGGAGGTGATCCAGTACGCGACTCATCCACCAGTGCACAGACACTGAGGATGGACTTCACAGGGAAGTAGGAGACATCTTGTGTCCAACAGGAAAACTTTAGAAATGAACAAAATGTGCATAATCTGGACTTTTTAAGGATTTCAATGTGGAAATCAGACACACATTATTGTTTGAATCAGATTATTTGTACATATGTCTTAATACATGTCTGGAGGGGATCTTATGTATGAATATTTAAAGTCATGGAGAAACTGAAAGCAAGTCTTCAGGTGATTAAATACTACAAACAATGCTTTAACCTCATTAGGTATCCTGTGAGAGAGCTTCACTATGATTTCAACACTTAGTTTTTAATACTTTTAAAGCTCTTTCAGCAGCTTCCAACCAGCAGCAGCTCTCTTACAGAGGGACTTATCAGTGCTGGGTTCCAGTACAGCAAGTAAACAATGTAACCGTAGCACAATAGCAGCATGATACTACTTAAGCAACCTTAATGTTTATCACATGTGTTTACCCTATGTCAAAATGGCTGCTGTGAAAAAGGTCTATTGTGAAATATGGTCATCAATTATCTTAAGTTATGGCCAAAAACCAGTTTTCTGATGTTACAGTGACCTTTGAATTTGAGGAAATTCCCTCGAGTTGTTCCAGAGATATCGCGTTAAAGTGCTGAAGTTAAGTGTTCCTCACCTGGCTCTGAAGCTCCGTCACCTCCTTGGCCAACTCGGTCTGGAGGGTTTGAGGAAGGCTGGAGAACAGACTGGACGACAACTCCTTCTGCATGTCCTCTTTGTACTTCACCTGCAGGTACGACAGTGTTCGTCTGTTTGTCACGTGTCTGACTGATACTGTTTTCATAAACTGTTTTTGACTTAATCTTAGTAGTGTGCTCAGTAGTATTTCCTAATTTTTCTGACAATATTTGTGTTTATAGTGTCCTAAAAAGGATATGAAGATAAAAAGTAATATACTAGGCTATACTAGGATTAACTGTAAGCAGGCTTGGAGAGTAATAGATTACATATAACAGAAACTCAGTAATCAGAAAATGGGAATTATGAGCAGGATTAAGATTTTAAAATACAGATGGAGAGGATGCAGAGGACACATTTGTTATGCTTTTGAGGTTACATTGTAAAAATGTTGTTATTGATATTGATTTTTATGTTACTTTAATATTGTGACAACAGGTGATTAGTAATTGCATGGGATTAGATAATTTTAAAGTAACCCTCCCGACCCTCGCTGTAAGAGAGTGTGTGTAGGTGTGTGATCAGTACCTGGCTCTGTATCTGTGAGGCCTGCTTCGCGTGTTGAGTGTCCAGAGTTTCTGGCATCACAGAGTACAGACAGCTGCCGGCCTCCTGCCTCCCAGACTTCTTATACTTTCTCTGGAAAAAGGAACATTTATACCGTCAGTAAGGTTGTAAAAACAAAGGGAAGAGAAAAAAACAAAGTCTGATACACAAAATTATGTTTCTAAATTTCCTTCATCTTCACTCTTGTGAACAGTTTTAACTCCTCAGGCCTTTGAAATTAATTAAAAGAAACCCACGAGAAGGAAAATAATACAGTAACACTTTATCTTAAGGTGCACAAATTCACCGTTAAGTAGCTGTTTATTAGGTGAATATTAGTAGCATATTGGCTCTTTATTAGTCATTATAAAGCACGTATTAATGCCTAATCTGCAGGAATATATTCTGCAACTACTAGGCCCTTAACTAAAGGTTTTCCATCAATAATCTCCTAATTACTGCTTATTGATATTGCAATAAAGATCTTAAGATGCCTTGCTCAGCATGGGCCTCATTATACTCATTCTCCTTTAATAACACTTAATAAATGTGGTTTATTCTTACGTAACAAAACACAAAACTACCTGATGGAGCTTTAACCTCACTTATCTTCACACTCTGAGCTGTCTTATTTATGCACTGTATCTATTCACGCGTGGATTTATTGGCTTTATCCTCTTATCTCACCGTGCTCTGCAGCTCAGAAACACTTTTAGCAAACTGAGTCTCAGCGGTTTCTGGCAGCTGGGAGTAGAAGCTCTGAGAGAGGCTCTTCATCCCGTTCTCTTTGTACTTGTTCTACAACCAGAGACAGAAAAACATACAGATCATAATTAGTAATAACATGATATTAGCAAGAAACAGCTTGACTGTTTTTTTAATGACTGCAACTGGAGTTTATGCCAAAGTCTGATACATGTTTAATAATAGCTACCACTTTTTTTTATCCATGTGAGAAGAACTGAGAGCTCCACAGAAACAGATGGACTCAAAACAGAAAGAAAAGTCACTCATTCATAATAGATTCAGCCATTCATAACTAAACACAGCAGCAGTCTGTTCTCCTCGCACCTCACACATGTTCTCCTCGCACACCTTCAAACCTCAGAGAGGCTAACAGGCTACGAGCTGCCACAGAAAGCAATGTGACGTTCCTGCCATGAAGATAAATCACTGCCAGAGATGCCGGTTTGTGCCAGATGACTCTTGTTAAAATAAATCATCGTTTCACTTTTGGAAGTTTCACATCTTCTGTTGTCTAACGGTTGATGTGAGGTTACTTTTAAATCAGTGCTGCAGCTGAACAGATGCCTTGTGTCCTCTGATGAGCTTTCATGTTATTAAGTTTGTCACTAATGTCACATAATAAAAAATGAATCATCTTAAGGACAACTGAACAAACTCCACCTTCCAACAAAGGCCATGAGATGTGTCTGAAAGCAAAATGTATAATCTGCCCATCAGTGTATAATCAGCTAAATATTGTAATCATTATGTTTTTCTTACCTTAGAATGAGATGTTTTTTATCTACAGACTCCAAACATGCCATGTTTCTACTGTAGCTGTTTCTTCTTCACACTAGGAAGGAAGCACCCTACAACTACAACGGTAGATGCCACTAAATCGTACAGACTGGACCTTTAAGTGAAACCTGTGCTAACAGTTAAATACATGGGGAGATGGTAGGGGAGTAACGGAAGAGTGTTTTTGCTCTCACTTGACTCTGCATGTCGGTGAGCTCTCGGGCAAACTGGTTCTCCAGAGTGTCAGGCATCTGGTGGTAAACTGGACACGACAGCTCCTTCTTACCGGCCTCTTTATACAAGATCTACAGGACGTACAGGGGACAACACAGAGACACTGATTCAGAATAATACAACAAACCTGTGATAATGCTGAAACATACAAAAAACACTTGTGGTTAAGAAGGTTTGAATGTTTTAGCTCCTCCGCATGATATACGTGTATACCTGACTCTGGAGCTGTGACGCCTCTTTGGCGTGTTGCGTCTCCAGAGTTTCAGGCAGTCTGTGATACAGAGACGTTGCTGTCTGCTTCTTACTGGCCTCTTTGTATTTAGCCTGGAAGACACAAAGAGGAACCAGATTCAGGTTAGAAGTCAGGATTTTGTTCTGTTGATCAGTCCAACACAGTTAAATATCAAACTATTTGCCATAAAATCTCAATAAATAGTTTTTCTTTTGGTCATTTTGCCTTTATTTGATAGCGAGGTAGACAGGAAGTGCAAGGAGGTCCCCACCTGGAACCAACCCTGGGATGTTATAACGTATCTTAAACTAGGCCACTGGATCCCAGTAAATTTAGTGTCTATGTTATCCTCCTTCGCCTGAATGCCACATTATTGATGCTGCACACAAAATTATGAAAAAGAGGCTTTGGCTGGATTTTGGGTGCAAGTTTAGCTGCTTCATCAACCCAGTCACAGAAAGAGCAAATGTAAATCCATCAGGAGAGAAATCTGGAATGATGAAAAAACATTATTATCTTTCAGAAAAGTGTCATCACTATCCTATGTTCTGTTACATCCCTGTCATCTCTGAACATAATCCTTGATTTATTTAGTAAATCTGAGAAAATTACAGACTTTATCCTGTGTGACTGTGCTGCTTGAATGTGCTCAATCATATGAGGTCTGCAGGTGATTCTGTTTTACTGTGAATCGACCGCACAGTGAATACTCAGCACACAGACAGCAGCCTGGACCCACCTCACTCTGCATTTCTGTCAGCTCTTTAGCATGCTGGCTGTCGATGGTGTCGGGGATCAGAGAGTACAGGTTGACGCTCATCTCTTTCTTACCATCTTCTTTGTACTTGACCTTGTATTGAAACAAGACACAGCCAGAAGGAGGAGAGTAAGACGTTACCAAATAAATCTCTAAATGAAAGCCAAAGTTGTGGACGATGGGATGAAACAAACAGGTTCACACATATGACAGTCATACCTCACTGAGCATCTCTGTCTGCTCTCTGGCAAACTGAGTGTCGATGGTTTCCGGCATCAGGTGATACAGACTGGAGGCGTCTTTCTTTGAACTCTGCTTGTACTTCAGCTGCAGTGCACACGATCAAACCACCATTGCTTTATTCGGTTCAGTTCAATCAATACATGTATACAATGAAAACAGCACGAAGAACAATAAAACAAATCGACAGCTGAGGAAATGTGCTTCTTTTGGTGTTTACTGTGGTATATATCTCATCAATGGATCCCATATGGATCCCATCAAGCTCAGGTTTGAGGTTGAGGGAGAGGGTTTGGTCAGGTATACTTTTATGAGCCCGTACAAAAGCTTTACTTTCTGAACAAAGCTGCAAAGTTCTTAAAGGTTTCCAAACTTACACTTTCTTTATGGGCAGATTGAATAGTCCTGTGATTTTCAATAAGGTGTCTGATGAAGACAGCTGGACAGATGTTGGCTGTTTTGGTTGGTTCTGCTGTGTGTGTGTGTGTGTGTGTGTGTGTGTGTGTGTGTGTGTGTGTGTGTGTGTGTGTGTGTGTGTGTACCTGACTCTGCAGCTGTGAAGCCTCTTTGGCGTGCTGTGTTTCCAGAGTCTCCGGTAGAGTCGAGTACAGAGAGCTCGTCACTCCTTTCTTCCCTGCTTCTTTGTACTTCATCTGAAACAGAATGCAAACCAAAACTAAACGTATTGCTTCAGACTGGTTTCAAACCTTCAACTGCTTAGAGAGGTCATCAGCATCAATAATAACCCCCGGGGTTTAATGTGGTCATCGGGACTCCACATGTGCACAGGCCTGCTGTCTCTGAGTCTCTGCACCAGATGCTACAGTATCCGTCATTTTCCTATTCAGCTGAACATAGCTGTGAAACCCGGAGAGATTGATTTCAGTGCTCATGTAAGAGAGACAGAAGCCGTGTTTACATTCAAATGTATTGCACATTTTAGTCAGCCGAACCAACCTAATGTCACCAAAATGTCAGATGATTCATGTAAATTAGTCAGCTAGTTAGCTAGTATTCTGCATCAGCTATCAGATGCAACAAGCTCCCTAACAATTGATGTGTATTAGCTAGCTAGTTAGAAGTTTTAGTAACATAAGCTACTTTAAAATGTGACTGTATATAGGTCGCTTTTGTCTTGGTTCAGTTAGTTCATCGTAATAAGCAGTAAGCAACTAAGTTTGCTTCTAAGTCAAGTCAGTAAGTCAATTCTCCAGTCGGAAAACCAAGAAGAAGAGATCGCAACAAGATGGCGTAATTTACGTCATTTAACATAAATGACGTAGAAACAACACAGAAGCCAGGATTTAAATGACATTTCGGTTTGTTTTATGTAATAATGTGAGGGAGGTTACATTAGAGCTGTGTGGATCATGGATGGATGTATGGATGTATCATAGAGCCATGAGAGTGATGAGGAGACTGATCACGTCAACTTATCACAATATGTTGATGGAAACACAGTTACTGACATATACAGTTGTGTCATCTGCGTAACCTGATTCAGACTTTTCTGCTGCTTTCTAGCGCTACAGGATTTTTAAACAAAATACTTCAGCAGGACTTCATTCATGAATTGATTCTCCTCACCTCACTCTGTAGCTCAGAGACAGTTTTAGCAAACTGAGTCTCAGCTGTTTCTGGTAGCTGAGAGTAAAAACTCTGAGAGAGGCTTCTCTTTCCGTCTTCTTTGTACTTGTTCTGGAGACGATGGAAACAAAAGAGATGAGTTTGACCTATAAACAAGGCAGGATTCTCAGGTACTAACATAAACAGCAGGGGGTACAATAGCATTCATAGCAGGGGTGCACAAACTGCAACAGCAAACACAATTTATTAATCTACACCTGAATATTGAGCAGCTCCACTATGAGACCCCAAAAGGTTTGTTTTCCTCGTGCCGCATAAAAACTGGTACAGATCTGATATGCCATTTCTCTCTGGTCACAGATCAGATATTGTTAATGACTCTTCTCCAATGCACGTTACAAACGGACTGTGATACCCCTTTGATCCCGTCTCTGATGCTAATCTGGCCTCTGATGAGTGTCTAAGGTATAAAAACATCAGAGAGCATTGGATAATGGGGAAGTGATTATTTATAACTAATCAAACAGCATTCGTACAGCAGCTCTCTCTCTCTCTGCACTTCAGCTACTTTGAGGAGGCATTGGCTCTCAGCTGAGGCACATCCTTAATCTTTATTTAATCTCACTCCAAAATGTTTGAGGGTGAAGAAGAAGACGTATGATTACCCACATTAGTATAACTTTTTTGTTTAGATGCACATTTTTATAGTTCCAGGCTAATCACAGTGCTAAATCAGTGCACAAGACAAATATAAACAGTATCTCTCTCTACAAATCATTAAATGAGAGATATATTATCAAGTAATGAAGAAACATGTAACACGATGGGATGTTATGTTAAAATCTAGAAATATCTTTATCCAAGTTGTGTGACCACTGGCCTTTTTTTTATTTACCTCGCTCTGCATGTCAGTCATCTCTCTGGCGAAGCTGGTCTCTGACGTGTCGGACAGGGTGGAGTAGAGTGAGCTGGACATCTCCTTCTTTCCGCTTTCCTTGTATTTGATCTGGGAAATAGCATCAGAGGAAGATGGGTGATTGTTATTCCAACTAGCTCAACTTGTTTTTCTGATAACTTAAGATCAAGGTGTCAGACGATTAAAATATACAGTTAAAAACCACCAAGATCTTAAAAGTATACTGTAAAAATGGCTTAAACTGGATAAAAAGTCAATGTATTGTGGCAGTACATAACAAAAAGGGGCGGGGCTTAGGAAGGGTTAATTAGGAACATATTCTTGATTCCCACCTCTGGGCTACACTGGAAAACTGTCCTCAGATAATAGCAGAAGAAAACACCATGTTTACCTCACTGAGCAGCTCTGCAGCTTCTTTAGCGTGCTGCGTCTCCATGGTGAGGGGCAGGAGGGAGTACAGGTTCGTATTTACCTCTTTCTTACCAGCCTCCCTGTACTTGGTCTGCAGATTGACATGAACACAGTTACTTTGTGCAACACACTCCAATGCAGCCTCTAATGACTTCTGTCCACAAGGAGTTTAAATAGGTTTAATTAAATTAGTTCAAAATATAATCACTTACATGTTGTTTGCCTTATTAATCATCATGAGTCCAGATCAATCTCAGGTTTTAGAATCAAAGCACAGACGTCAATGGAAATATAATCTTTTGATTTCTTTTTGACCTCTGATCATCAACACACAGACACAGAAGAACAAGAACACTTCTCATTGTCCCTGGTTCAGATAAAATAATATTTAAGATCCAGCTCTGTACCTCGCTCTGCAGCTCAGACAGCTCTTTGGCCAGCTGTGTCTCTGTGGTCTCTGGCAGCTGATGGTACAAACTGCTCTGATTCTTCTGCTTCAGACCTTCTTTATACTTCACCTGCAGGAGACAGGAAGTATAAAACTATAAAGAACTATAACATAAAATAAAAACAGGAAAATAATACCCAGAATAAACATTTTCTGAAATATTGTTAAAAGCAGGTTCAATAAAAATTGTTAAATGGATTAACTTTATTCTTATTCTCACAATATGATATATGAATGAATATGATTGGATTTTGATACTTGTGGTAATGATTTGATTCAAAATGATTCTCGATTCAGTACATAGAGGTACTAATTTCAGGGTCTTCTCTGTTGTGCGTTAAGAGCCTTGCATACTGAATGAGTCATGTCAGGCTTATTCTTCCAAAGTGCGTCCTTCAATGAAAACTGAACTGACTGAATTTCTTGCTGCTCCATTGTACATAAGCTTTAGTTAGCTAGGTAGTTAGCAGCAACGGAGTACCCCGGGAGTCAGCAACCTCAAAAAAAAAAAATTTTTAAATTGATAAAAATCAGTCTGGAGCTGCAAAACATGTTTGAGCCTTATAATGCTAAGAGCTTAGCCAGCAGTGTAGGTGGTGAAAGCGAACAAATCTTTCCACGCACTATTAAAGTCTCTATTTTCCTCTGAGACTTTTCTTATTTTGTATTTGGAAGCCAAGCTAGAAAGACTAGCTATTGAGGTTCAGCATATGATGCACATTTTAGACATATGATAACAATAATCGTTATTGATTTCTATATAATCTGTTGCCACAGGAGAGGGGCTATAAAGCTGCATATGGCTCCGGAGCTACCCCTGGACTACCCAGTAGACACACTGCCTGCTGCAACTGAGTTTGACAGAAGCCAGAGAGGGCACACGGCAAGTCAACAGTCAGAAAACAGGAGAAAATTGAAACTGTACTTGATCGAAGACGAAAAAAGATTTGTAGATCGTAATTTTAACATGAATTGTTTTCCCACATTTGAAGTTATCAGCAGATTCAGACATATTCTTTTTAAGTGCAGGGGGCTTTAAGACGGGCTTATAACACCAATTATGTAATTTTTTCAAATGAAATGAATCATTCTCTTTCTACACAGCGAGTGGAAGGAAAGACGCTCACACATAAAGGAGGAAGCAAGTAACCAAAGAACCAAGAAAAAACTCATTTGAATACCTCACTCTGCAGGTTTGACACCTCTTTAGCGTGCTGGGTGTCGATGGTCTCAGGCAGCAGAGAGTAAAGGTTGATGCTCATCTCCTTCTTACCATCCTCTTTATACTTCACCTGAAAAAAAACAACAGATTTTTTGATCTGCAGCTTCCTCCACCAACACAAAATCAAGTCGGAGGAGGTTCTTTCTAAAACTGTGAGCCCACAGTAAGTTCTGATTTCTTCGTCGTTACCTCGCTGAGGAGCTCGGAGACTTCCTTGGCGTGGGCCGTCTCTAAGGTCTCAGGCAGCACGTGGAACAGACTGGAGGAACGACCTTTCTTCAGGGCGGCCTTGTACTTCAGCTGAGCACAAACAGGAGCAGAGACAATTATCCATCTATGAAAAGGATAAACGTGTGTTTGTTCCTGCGTGTAGGTGTGTGTGTGGACAATGCGGGCTGTTTTCACCTCACTCTGCAGTTCAGAAGCCTCTTTAGCGTGCAGCGTCTCCAGAGTCTCAGGCAGAGTGGAATAGAGAGAGTTGGAAACGTCTTTCTTTCCCTGTTTGTACTTCATCTAAAATCAATGAAAAAATTATTGTTACGGATTTCAAGGAACAAAATCTGCTGATATTTAATGAACATCAACAAGAAAAACAAGTTCGAGTTGAAGTGGCTTTCACGTCTGCAGCTATTGTGAATTCAGGTAAAACTTTTACTTATCATGGAACAGGCTCTCGAAAACTTTAAAAATGTAATTACATTAACTATACTTAAGACTTAGGCTAAACTGTAGGGCTGTACGTAACAATAATCTGTAACGTGTTGTGTACTGTGAATAAAACTGAATGGGGTATTGGAAATAAGACGCTGTTCTTTGTTGTTTTTTAAAAAGATATTTTTATTTGATAGGACAGGTCAAGATAAACAGGACGACATGCAGCAAAGGGCCATAGGTTGGATTCATCCCAGGCTGCTGTGTTAAGGACTCCTTACACCTACATGGGGCGCGTGCTCTACCAGGGGAGCAGCAGTTTCAGCAGTAAGCATTAACAGCTTCACATTACGTAATAACCTCTCTATATAGCAGTTTTCATTATAAGTGGCAGAGTCCGCCACCGCCATGCTGGATTTAAATTACCTTCACCCTCAGAAGGACATCGTCGGTAAACAATGCAGTGTGTAATCTAGCGTTAGGGCACGGTCACACATTCGCCTCGCACTGACTTCCATTCTGTGCTGTAGTATTAAACATCCGCTGTTACCACCAGCGACCAAATTAACCCAGGTTACAACTTTAATGTTGTAATACAATGGAATGGAACATTCTGCTCATTTCTGTTGTCTTGGGGTTCACTCTCAGCACTGGTTTCTTCCTGTTTAGAAAGAGAAGTCCTCACCTCGCTCTGCAGCTCAGAAACAGTTTTAGCAAACTGAGTCTCTGTGGTCTCTGGCAGCTGACTGTAGACGCTCTGTGAACGGCTTTTTATCCCATTCTCCTTGTACTTAGTCTGTAAAAGAGAGAAAATCAAAAATACAAAGTGTTACTTCTCCGTAAGGTTCAGTTTAATCACTTTATTTCTCAGGTAGGTTGTCTTTCTGTCTTTCTAACTCATTAAAAATTCCAGAATATGCCAATTTTGTCAATTTCTAAAAAAAACGTCTCTTCCGTCACTGTAAAGTCCATCCTCAGTGTCTGTGCACTGGTGGATGGACTTTCAGCAGATGCACATACATCATTCTGTCCACTGAACATCTGATTTCTGACTGGAGGAGACTTTAAGTAACAGAAACTGTGACCTGTCCCTCAGTAAAAACACTTTGCATCTACCACATGAACCTCTTTTTCTATTAATAGCAAAGCTAACATTGTGGCTCTCATATTTATTTCTCTTCGTTGTCATTATGTATATTTAAAGGTTTTCTTTTCATTATCTGTGTTTGATGAACACGTCTTTGTGTCCTCACAGACCGACGCTGATGCTGAGCCGAGCCTCATTAATCTGGACTGTATCTGTACGACATTGTTGGAAATGCAAATGAAAGGCTGCAGCGTAGATAACCTCTTTGATCCCTTTTTGATGATAATCACACTTGTGATGACCAATTCCTGATAAAAACCAGCAACGATAGAGCCGATAACACCGCAGCTTTCTGCAGTTGTTTAAATTCTGAACACCTTCCTGTTCTTTAAGGACTGTGGTCAACGCTCAATGTTACATCAGTCTCATTTCATCTCAAGATCATTACAGCACCTGATTTGTCTATTGATTAAAAATGTATATTGGTTTCATTCACAGCTTTATGTTTATTAAAGGTATATACTTCATTAATGTTGGTTGTAGTAATAGACTGCGTATAAAGATGGACCACATGTCTCCACTTCCTCCTAAAGATGCCCCTATGGAAGATAAAACATGAAAACATTAAAGTTCCCTCTAAGGTGCTAATCCTAACCATAACCCTAAAATGTTTCGCCATCAGCTGTCACATGAAAGCCCCCTTTTTATGGCATCAAATAACAAATTAAAACTAAACTCACCTGAACCTGAACATACATACAGTGTGATAAGAACCACGCAGTCTGAAATGACCAACCACAACATACACAAAACGTTTGATTTCTCTGTAGGGTTGTGTGGTCAGAGACTAACCTGTCAGTGGCAAAACAAGCACCTTTTAATAGAAGTATGTTAACGGTGTGCAAGGATTACATTGCAACCTGCAACCTTTCGATCACTCAAAGCGCTTTTACAAGACATGCCACATTCATCCTTATATATACAGTGATCACAAACTGAAACTAACTCATTCATACACCAATGCACAGCATCGGGAGCAATTTGGGGTTCAGTATCTTGCTCAAGGAGATGCAGCAGGAGGAGCCGGGGATCGAACCCCCAACCTTCTGCTTAGCGAACAACCCGCTCTACCTCCTGATAGCCACAGCAAATCTCCTGTCTCCTATCATACATCAAGCACAGCCCAGTATGTCATAAGAAGAGATGATGTCTGATTCTGATGAATGTTGGTACCTCGCTCAGCATGTCAGTCATCTCTCTGGCGAAGCTGGTTTCTGAAGTGTTAGGCAGAGTGGAGTAAATGGAGGTGGACCGCTCCTTCTTCCCGCTCTCCTTGTACTTAATCTAGGAAAAAAATACACATTGAGAAACGCACACAATCTTGACAGAGGCAGACTGATGCTCGTCCTGTACGTCCACAGTATTTGAAGACTCAGGTTGCTCTGTACCTCACTGAGCAGCTCTGTGGTCTCTTTAGCGTGTTGAGTCTCCAGGGTTTCAGGCAGAAGAGAGTACAGGCAGGTATTCACTTCTTTCTTTCCCGCTTCTTTATACTTTGCCTGCAGAGACACCAAACATAACCTTTATGCTGTTAAATGTTACTTCTCTCAGCCAATTACAGCTGCATGCCTCTTGTCTGTATGTATGAATTAAAATTCTAAAATATTAAATATGTTGTTAATTGTACTGTAGTGGACTTTAAACTCTTGAGATTTAGAAAGTTGAGGTTTGATTAACACTAAAACCCAATTAATACTGTAAACAGGTGTCTAATATTTGAAATTATATAATGTGTTATTAACTCATTCTCCCCCTTTAAAGTTTCTTGAACCAATAATTAATGGCCTGTTTAATTGACTTTAAAACACCTTAATTTAGATATTTTAAAGGAATACATTTATATTTAATTTATGTGTTTAACTGTTTTCTTGTGCTAATGTGTCAAACTTCACTGTACACAACATAAAATATGAATAGAACTGTTTTAAAATCTATAACGTGTAGTTTTCAGTCACATGGTAGTGATCTATCAAATAAAGTAACTCCGGCCTCTGCCTTCAGAAATGAGACATTTTGGGTTTTAGTGGTTTACCGTGAAAGCTTTGGGTGAGTGAGAAGTGATGCTTCAGAGAGCTGAAGTAGTTCAAACTGCTGCCTGAGAGCATCTCCACAGAATACAGTTCTACACTCTCACAACAGAACAGCGTATTTAGCACAATCCTCTTCATCTCAACAGCTTTTACAAATGTCTACATTTTACTTCATGCTCCTGGGAAAACACACATGATCATCTCAGTGCTCTGTCGGTAACGTGGCTAAACAAGGAGTTGTTTTAAGGATAAAAGTTGAACATGTTGTTTATGTTGTGTTATTGAGAAGAACCGTGGTGTCATGCTCTGTACCTCGCTCTGCAGCTCAGACAGCTGTTTGGCCAGCTGTGTCTCTGTGGTCTCTGGGAGCTGATGGTACAAACTGCTCTGATTCTTCTGCTTCAGACCTTCTTTATACTTCACCTGCAGGAGACAGGAATGGATCCGTTTTAACCAACACAAAATAGCCGTTACTCAACTATCGGGGCAACAAAATGATCCAAGGAAAGATCTAAAAGTGTGAGTGGAAGTGGAAAGCCCTTTCATAAACTGGTTAGAGGTCTATTGCAATCAGAGATAATGACAACACTTTTATTCACTAACGTATACAATGTCCAAAATGAATGTTTTCATATTAACTAATGTAATTGTAAAGACAATATGACGTTTTTACTGTAGCCCTATTTCAAACAACAAGGTAACTCATTTGAATACCTCACTCTGCAGGTTCGACACCTCTTTAGCGTGCTGGGTGTCGATGGTCTCAGGCAGCAGAGAGTACAGGTTGATGCTCATCTCCTTCTTACCATCCTCTTTATACTTCACCTGCAATAACACAAGGATGATAATACACAGACACATTGAAGGCCTATTTAAGCGACACAAAATATATCTCACCATTACATTTTACAACAGAACATAACATAAAAATCACAGTTAATATCAGCTCAGCGTACTTTATCAGCGAACTGGCCACCCCTAGTGCCACCCCATTATCCTTCGCTCTTCCACCCACCCACACTGTCTTTCACAGGCTGTAGTGGGCTCCATTTTAAAGTTACAGTGAACATACTGGTACCCCATGAAACTAGATTACCTAACATTTCATGCTAAGATGATAGGAAGAGGCTCCAAAGTTCCTGACCTTAAGATATCAGAATGAAATGGGTTTGATGAATACCCACAAGCCTCCCTTTAATAGTTAATATTTCTGCATACTGGAGTCAATAAACTGTGGTGGAATTGGAGAAATTGGGAATAACTGGACAGCTGAGACACGTACTCGATGCCACCCCTGCATAAGTGCCCCATCTGTGCAACCCAAAACTGAATTTATTGACCAGCATTAATGTCCCTGTGGTTTTACCTCACTTAAGAGCTCAGACACTTCCTTGGCGTGAGCCGTCTCTAAAGTCTCCGGCAGAAGGGAATAGAGGCACGAGTTCCCGCCCTTCTTACCCGCTTCCTTGTACCGCATCTAAAAATAAAAACACACTTTAACGTACTGTAGGTTTTTAAAACATGTGCACAAAAGTCTCTGAGGATCAGCAAACATTAAAGGAGAGAATGTTTAATCTGCTCTTTATAAGCAAACAATAGCCCAGTGAGGCTTTTCTCTGAGCACTGATTATATTCATTACTGTAAGACGTTCTCACCTCGCTCTGCAGCTCAGCAACAGTTTTAGCAAACTGAGTCTCTGCAGTCTCCGGGAGCTGAGAGTAGAAACTCTGAGAGAGGCTCTTCCTGCCGCCCTCCTTGTATTTACTCTAAGAGAGGGCAAAACAATCTGTCAGCAGTTTGCAGTGAAGTTACTGTGTGTTATTTATTGACATGCTTTGTTTAAAGGTCCAGTGTGTGACATTGAGGCAGAAATGGAATATAATATTAATAGGTATGTTTTAATTAGTGTATAATCACATGAATATAAGACAAGTTGTGTTTTTATTACCATGGAATGAGTTTTCTGGATTTATTATCTTATTGTTCTGTATCATTTTGACAATACCAGATGTGTTTCCTTCTTAAAATATAAAAATCATCACAGCCGACCCGTGAACATGTCATTATTTCTTCAGGCAAACTAGCAAATAGCAAAACTATTGAATATTGTCATTATTTTGGACATTTTATGACCTAAATCATGAATTGCTTAATACAAACACAAATTTCAGGCTGTTTCTGACCAAATTCAATGAACCATAAGCTCCAAGCATGATGTAACATGGGCCGAATGATGACTTCACCATTGGCACACAGTGTGTTCTACCTCGCTCTGCATCTCAGTCATCTCTCTGGCAAACTGGATCTCTGTGGTGTCGGGGAGCTGAGAGTAAAGAGAGGAGGGAGCTCCTCTAACCAGCACCTTCGGGCGATAGTTCACCTGAGACAGAGAGAGAGTGAGAGTGTCGTTGGTTGCAATGACAGGTTAAGACGACATTTCCCACAAACCCTGTGGCTCTCCGCTCATGTACCTCACTCTGCATCTGGGACATCTCCAGAGCGTGTTGTATCTCTGGAGTGTCGGGGAGCTGGGAATAGAGGGAGATCGAGGCCTTTCTCTTCCCATCTTCTTTGTACTTTTTCTGAGACAGAAAGAGAACAGACTGTTTTCAGCATCCTGTGTTCACGACACAAGCTTTTAAAATGATAATGAATGAACTCACCTTAAGCAACAGGAGCACGGCCGGTACGTAACTTTATCATGCAGCATTGTGTTACAGATTTCTCCTGAACTTTAAGTTAATAAATTCTGCCACCAGTGAGTGATCCATTCAAACACCACAATTCAACTAAAGCTCTTTTCAGACGGGGAGCGACTGACAAGCCTTGTAATTCATTTTCAATGAGTGGCAAGCGGGAGGCGTGGACAGTCTGACAGGGGGTGCAGTTGTGCTTCTCTCACGCAATGCCCGCCCACTGCTGGAGTTGAATTAGATGGATTACATGGCTGAGCATCGACACAATACTGGATGCAACTTCAGTTTTAATTTAAGCTAGGCAATAAAGTTATGGCTAAGGCATCAAAGACAGGTTTACCACCAATTATCAGTAGTTCACAGAAGCCGTTTTCATGGTTACCATGCATTAAGTCTTCATCTCAGCAAAAAGAAAAATCCTCTTTGGGAACTTTGGGATCCAAGGAAGCAAACAAAACTACTCAGTTTGAGACAAACAACCAAAAATAAACTCAAGTGATGCCTTTTTGACTTTTTGGCTCGTTGTCGGGGGTTGGAAAGCTAACTGACCGAGTGCTCTCTGGATGAACTGGGTGTTTTTTACCGGTGAGTTAATGTGCACTTTTGGTTTAAAACGCCAGCATGCTGGTTGATGTAAAATGCATCAGTACTGGTGCTCCAATGCAGGAAAGTCGCCACAGACTCCAGATTTAAAAACTCTACACTGCGACATGCAGAGGGATTTACCTGGTGGTGAGGAGGCTTAATCAGCATTGTCTTTGCAGCGGATGTTCATTTATATATGTAAGAGTGCAGCTCTCCAGCTTTAAATAAGACTTCTGTGTTTACTTTCTGTATGTAATTCATTAGCGGTGGGACGTCGCACATCTTCATCAAACCTGCAGCTGCTGCATAAATCAAACCGTGTGTCGATGCCCAGACTGGAGTTAACTGATGAAATATGTTGAAACACAGCTGCCATATAAGTCAGAGTGATTTTCATGTTTGAGTACCTCGCTCTGAAACTCGTGGACCGCCTTGGCCAGCTGCATCTCAGCAGTTTCAGGAAGCTGAGAGTACAAACTGATGCTCATCTCCTTCTTCCCTTCCTCCTTGTACTTGTTCTGAGGAGCAGAGAGGGTTTCAGTGTGATGACATTTTAATAGAGTCTGGAGTTTCCTTTAAGCTATCAACCCTGCCACAAACTGAACTTTGAACTCTTAATTATTTCTTCTTTTCTATTCTTTTTTAAAATATTCTATATTGATTGTTTATTAATTTTTGTTTTTCTGATGCTCACAGTACAAAAGAGAATTCAGATTTTATTCAGATTTTCAGGTCAAATTAAGATATCATCCATCCATCCATTTGTCTATCAATCCTTCCATCCATCAACACATCCTCCATTTTCCAGTTCATCCAGTCTTCATAATACATCCACCTACCTCAGGTGCATCCATATATTCATCCATTAACATCCCTTTCGCCCTTGATCCATCTATCATAAATTCAACCTTTCCTTTTCCATTTTTCTCCCCATCTTTTATCCGTCCTTTAACAATCGTTCCACTCATCCTCTCATATATTCAGAAATCCGTGATCCATCCATCATCTCTTTTCATTTATGAAAAACATTGTCCATTTATCCATTCACTCATCTGTCCATCATCGATCCATTCATTCATTCATCCATTCTTTCCCTATTTATTATTTATGCATCCATCCATTTGTCTGTCAATCCATCCATATGGCCATTTACCCATCCATCTATCATTTATTCATGTGTCCCTCCATAAATCTATCATTCATCCATCCGTCCATCCACTCATCCATCCGTCCATCCGTCATGTCTGACCTCACTCAGTAACTCCGTCAGCTCTTTGACAAACTGGGTCTCTGTGGTTTCCGGCAGCAGAGAATAAAGAGAGGAGGAAATCTCTGTCTTCACATTTCCTTTGTATTTAATCTGAAAAACAAAAACACACAACTTTAGCCACGTTTCCACCGCAGGAACCTTCCCCAGGGACCTAGAAACATTGGGAGGGACTCTTCCCACTGCAGGGGTCTAAATTAAGTTCCAGGGACATTATTTTACCCCTCAGAAAGTCCCTGCTCGGGCGTTGCTATGCTGGTGTGGCTTGCAGCACTGAACACTGACTGGTTGAGTACTCACAGCATTTTATTTCAGCCCCCATTTAAAAAAATCTGCAGCCACAATTGTTCATTTTGCTTCGATGCATCAACATGGGGGTTTATAGAAGAAAGCATATGACAGATCAGACGGAAAACAGCCGTCGCAGACTAAGTTGCTTAATCTTAGTGGGTCTGTAGACTCCAGTGGAAACGCAGACAACAACAGGCTGAAGAAACCTTTTAGTTCCTTGAAGTTTCTGTTTTAAACGTTTTGGGTGCTTTTGGGAGGAAATGCAGCATTCATCAGTCCTATAATCATGTTTTATGGCCACTATTAGCACTCTAAAACCAATAAAAAAAATAATCTGATCATTACAGGAACAGTATTTAGAGGCTAACATAACTTACTCTCAATCTAGGAGAGTTCGCTGGAGTATAATAGTTAGCTTTGGCTGTACGAAGCAGTTCACAGTTTTATTACCACTATTTCCATAGTTTTCCACATTTTTCCTGTGAGAATACTTTATAATTTTATATTTTATATATGTTGCTTCCCTTATAGAGCAATCATGTCAATGATCGACTGCTCTCAATGCCGTCTGTAGTTCACAGGTTCACAAACTGATAAAATCCTGGTGCACTGAAGTGAAACTACCTCACTCTGCAGCTCTGAAGTCTCTCTGGCACGTTGAGTCTCAGGAGTCTCTGCCAGGATGGAGTACAGAGACATCGACGCTTCCTTCTTTCCCTCCTCTTTGTACTTAGACTGGAAGTTGCACAAAAATGATCAGATTGGTTAAAATTAGAGACTGTGTGGTCCTCACCTCTGTAGGTTAATGTATTATGTCTGAATGAATGTCCTCGAAAGTATGTTCATACCTCAGATATGACAGCGCTGATGTTCTTGGAGTGGATGAGTTCGGCTCCGGGAACAAACAGACTCTGACCCCTCATCTTCTCAAAGTCCTCCTTATACTTCACCTGCAGGGAGGAGGAGTCATGAGAGTGTGTGTGTGTGTGTGTGTTATGTGACTTTAAATTGCATGCAAGCTGAACTTCTGTTGCACTTCTGCTTCATCCCCAGAAGGAATGTTAGTTGTTTTGCAGAGTTTTAGTTTTCAAGCTCAGAGAGGAGTCGTCTCTCCAGGCAGTGCGCAGTATAACTCTCGTTAACTCTAAAACACTAAAAACATCTTCTATTATAACCTACGGTACGTCGAGCATCCACACAATGAAAACAATACTGTTACAAAACTACATGAAAAGAGACAAAATTGCATTTAAAGTTAGTTGAATCTTTTCAGAAGAGCATATGATGAACAAAGAGTCTGTAATGAGCAAATCTACTAAACTTCATTTAGGTCACTGCTGGACTTTCTCCTGATTGGCTCCTTTCAGGGAAGAATGAGTATGAATACCATCAACCCTCTGATTGTCCACTGTCTTACTGTATTGATCAGCTCATCTTTGTAGCTTGGGAAACAAACTTTCTTTTTTATTTTATATAAATTCATCTTTCCTCTTCCTCCCAGAAAACCTTATAAAAATATTGAACATTAAGAGTTTTCTCCTTAAAGAAAACATCTGGAAGAAGAAAGTGATTTTTATATTTTGTTTAAATGGAATGAAAATGTTATATAATTTATATTTTCTGTTTTTGTCCCTCATAATGAACATAACAGGATTGCCTTATATCATATCATGATGTCAGAAGGATGATTTTCTGATGAGGGACTGTGCTGTTTCCTCTCCTCTGCTCGCCTGCTAACTAGTTTTTATTTTTCTTATATCTTACCACTTGGAGGAAATTAGCTGGTACCAAGCAGAGCAAACACACTTTATAAATGGCTATGTGTGTGTGTAGTTGTCAAATACTCCTGGTTGGGAATCAGTGGTATAGAATACCTGAGCTACAGCTGCTCCATATTTAGAGTAAAGTTATGGTTAACTGTGGGTGTAAAATTACATCTGTTTACTGATCCTAGAATTAAAGTCAGGTCAGTCTCAGTATGATTGATTATACTACAGTTTGTTGTCATACAGTACAGCACTAGGACCACAGTGCTGATGGACTGAACTTCATTTCAAACATGTGCCACAGTTTGGTGTCTGACTGAGACGTCTGGTCCAACAACAGACCGGCAGATTTTCTGAAGGGACCCAGGAGAAAAATAGAATTAATCCACAGATGACAAGCTGTCCGCCTCAATCTGTGAGAGGAAACCAGAGTGGGCAACAAAACAAAAAGGTACTTAATGGCACCAAATACTGGTCCACTGGCTTCTTACCATTATATATAAAAAGTAATGCTCAGTGAGGCTCTGTGTATTTATAAATGCCTTCTTGTGTTTTCTCCATGTGCTCTTACATATTAAAGCGCTCTCCATCCATTCAGGCTGCCTGGAGCACAACTTTGAAGCGGTTCACGTCTCCATGGTAACAGCAACATCCCTAAACTAGCTTTAGGACACTGGTTAGTGCACCAGGAATTTATTGGGAAAACAAAAAGAGTGTTTCATCCCACTGACTGAAGCAGAGTGAGACCAAAGTCCTGAGATCTCTGAGCGTTAAACTTCCTGCGTGTGATGATTGATAATGATGTTTGAAGGCAGGATTTCACAGACAGGCAGCTGGAGGAATAAATGAAGATGATTTCACAAAGTGAGTTGACTTGCTTCCACTGTAGCTGATGAGTCATTCTGCTGGTGCAAACAGTCAAGCTGCCAAGTTTGAGTCACACCGGGGAATCGATATCTCACCCTCCCACATCCTACAACAGCATTCACCCTCATTCACCGTTTTTACTGCCAGATATATGCAACGAAACCGCTGCTGCAGGAGTCAAAAAGACGGGTTTTTTCCTTCGATCACGGTTCCCTCTGGGTTGAATAAAGGCCAGTCACTGGATCTTTGGAGGGATGGTTACCAATGGCAACCCTGCGCTCAGTTCAAGAGGCGGAGGAAGAGGATGACGCCTCGCTGTCTTACACATGTGGAAGAGTTCACCTCCAGAAATGTTTTTATTCCAGGAGTTGGAAACGAAGCAGTTGCAAGCAGGAAAATATCACTGGGTTAAAAATGGACCCAGTTTGGGTCAATGTAGCAGGTTTTTTATATATATAACTGTTTTAACTCAGTGTTAGACACAACAAGCTCAGGCTTTACCTTAAAACTGTCACAAATAACCCACAAAACTGCACATAATACACATATTATTACCAGAAACAAGCATTGGCATTGGGTTTAAAAAGAGCTAGAGTAGATTATAACAGTACCTAAATATTAGCCTATATTTATACAAGTTCATTTTGTAACCATGGTAACAGTCTGTGTGAATGCTGGATGTCTTATATTTTGCATTTCTCTGTAATATAATGCTACAAAATGCCTCTTTCTTGTGTATTTGTCACCGTTTACAGTCTATCAGGTCCAGTTACACTCCCAACTAATGATACTCGTAATCAGGTATTTCTTCATGAGCTCTTGGTGACACCAGAGACGATAAATACACACATATCCCACTGTAAGGCTCAGTAAGTGCAGTATTATTTGCTCTCAGTCACTGGGATTTGATTTCACCACATGGCTCTTTGTTTGTTTGGAATAATCCAGCGTGAACAGGAACTGAACCAGAAGGCTGCAATGGATTTTCTTTCCTAAATCTGGAATCGAATTACAGCTGTCACAGATATAAAGAACTGAAGTGACAGTGAATGAACTTACTTCACTGGCGAGCAAACTGCATCTCCTGTTAAATGCTGGGTCTGGTCGTGGAGGCTTTGCATCGGAGGAGGCCTGAAAGCACAGAAGTACACATAAAACCTGGAAGCCAATAAAGGTACTGACATTATTTAGACAAAAGTCGGCTATAACCCTTATTTTCTGTTGTTCTATATTCGTACATTTTATCATTTTTATGTCAAAAAGATGGATATCCAGAGTTTCCAAGAAGTCTGTAATGGCCTTTAAACCAACATCTCTTTACTGAGACTAATTCAAACTAATAGTGGTAATTTAAGGACGATATTGGCAAACTGAATTATCTGTCTGGCCCCACTAATAAAACTGAGTCAGAGAAACTTGTGAGTCAACGGAAGGAAACTTCTAATTCATGCACCGTTAATCCCTCGCCTCTCCTAACAAGCCCGATTGAGTCCTAAAAGTCCCACTATCAAAGGCTAATAATGGCACATTTTCATTTGTAGTTTCACTAATCCTCTCTAAGCCCGTATAAAAACCGGCAGTGCCAGGCGATGCCCCACGCCAAGGTCAATACAAAGACTCACAGTCAGAGCTGAGAGCTGCGGTTTCTCTGCTGAGGAACTAAATCTGCCTCTCAGCAGACTTCATCAAAGAAAAGCGAAATCCTCCAAGATGTTTAGCAGTACACAGGACTTAGCTACAGTTTGGGAACACTGTGTGCATTAATGTTCTGTACTGAACAGGGAAGTTGTTTAATAGAAAGAATAACCTGAATAAAAGACCAAGAGGTCCAAGAGCAAATTTGAAAAATGTCAAAATCAGAAGAAATATTCTTTTGTCCTTCTATAAGATGACCTCCTGAAGAAGAAACTGTTTCTTTCGTCAAATGAAGATCAGCTAATGAATTTATATGAAATCATATTGGTTTTTATTGGGCTGATGACTGAAATATTTAAAAAAGCTGACACAGATTTCTTTGCATTGTTAAAACTTTTCTGAAAAATAAGCACAAAACCTGTAATCTAAAAGATAACACATTAATTACCTGGTTCCTAGTTGTGGTCGTATTGTATTCCACACTGAACATATTTAATCAAGATCCACAGGTCTGCGTACTAATTTTATAATCTCGCTTCATAGTTTTCCATTGTTAAAATTCTTTCTTGCTAAAGTTTCTCATTATCTGATTATTTTGTGGCTTTAACTGAACTGAATTTTTAATTCTGGGTTGTTTATGTCGAGTTTTAGAAGTTGCTGGAAGGTCAAGTTCTCACCTCGGATTCCCAAGGTCCCAAAAACTTCTTTGTGTGACCCTCCTCTTCCTCTCCGCTGTCTTCTCCTCCGTCCATCTCTACTTCCTCCACCTCTATAGTTTCCTCCTCCTCTGTATTTTCCTTCTGCTCCTCCTCTGTTATTTTGTCAGTTTCAACTTCCTCCTTCTCCTCTACGTCCATCGCTTCCGCAGTCGTTTCAACAACCGTGGTCAGCGTGGTCACTGTTGTTACCATCGTCTCCTGGAAAGACTCTTGTTTCTCTCTCTCCACTGTCGTAACCTCTTTCATTTCTCGAACAATCACCGGAGCAGCTGGGGCCTCTTCTTCTTCCATGTCAGTCACCTCTGAGGACAAAAGATGCTTCATTTTTAGGTTCACTTTACTTATAATGGCATTTTTTATTAATAACACTTAAAAAACACAATTAACTCAACAGCAGCGGTAATAAAAACAAGGTAACATAAGACCAAAGCCAGGATCATTAAGAAGGAAACAACAACAGAGGTTATTGCATTAAAGACTATAAAAATATAAATTAGTGTGAAGAAGTAATTTAAAAGATTATATAGATCAAGCTCCACAGACAGGTTTATTTGCACATAACGCTGAAGGGAAATAACATTTGTATATCTTACACTAAAAAAGCACAACTTGTTGGAAGAAAAGGGAGAACAACTATAGAAGACACTGACTCCTTAAAGATTACAGCCTATATTGCTGCCATGATGACCCACCCTTATGTAACAGAGGAATGGGAGGTAGGTGGGGAGGCAAATATCTGTGTGAGGGGTAGCTTTATGGCTGCATAGTGTGTGTTGACGTATTTGTGACTGTTATCTTTCATCACGAGGCAAACCACATATATACAATGTTTATGTTATGAAATATTCTACCAGGATTGTGCTCTTGCATGAATATGATTGACCGACACAACACCTAATGGGATGATGTTATGAACCAGGTTCAACGTTCTTCCTGGATGACCATGCGTTTGTTTGAGTTTCAGCATTGGCACCTCCAGGTGGCAACCTCTGAGCCTGGCAAATGAAGCCAACACAGACAAAAACTAAGTTCCTTAAACAGCCACTTGAGGCTGGCTACAGAAGTGATTAATCTCCATAAGGCCTCATATTAAAATGCCCAAATCTACGTATTTATCTTAATTATATTAATTCTTAAAGTTGTGCGTAGAACTGCCACGATGGCGGCGGCCAGAGCCGAACACACTGAGCTTCACAGCGGCTCTTCAGAAACCTATGGGTGACGCCATAGACAATTATACAGTCTCAGCATTGGCACTGTGTTGCCGGACTGACCTCATTAAAATGAATGAAGGGCCGGAACATGACCTTAGTGTCTCAGCTGGAAAGGCTGACGGTGCTTTGGCAGCCAGTGAAGACACATTTACGACCCATTACCAAGTTAAAAAGGACAACAAAGTTGAGGCAAAGAGACTTATTGTAAGTCCTTCTGGATAAAGCATCAGTTAAATGAACGTGATGTAATGTGGTCCTTAACGAAAGGGTTGATGTGTGTTTCTGTGTTGTAGCTAGTTAGCATCTCTCCCCCCCACAGCCATGGCAAAGTAGATGCAGTTTAAGGCTCAGAATATAGCAATTATCAGAGGGCCCACACCATGCAAGTACTAATGCCAGGACATAGTCGTAGCCACCGTAATGGTCATATTACGTCTCTTGTTACGAGCTATGAACCAGGCTAAACTAGCTCAAAAACAGAAGCCTAACAAGCAGTTCAGAGCCACAGTTCTAGCAAGGTACCAAAATAAAAGCCACTCAAAACTGAAACATGATCATTATAAAGTACAACTCTTTACTAAAACTCCAGGCTATAACTTCCTGATCAACTCTCCTGTCAGAATCCTCCACGTTACGGTTGTCGATACACTCTTCGTCTGCGGTCAAGGTCACCTCTTCAGCTTCATCAAAGTCACCTCGTTGAATCCATTCATTTCTTGCCCTTCCTTTCAGATTCCTTAAGATCTCGATCACCCTATCAGTAATCACCTCCGGATGTCGTAGCATCGTCAGTGTCTTATTCAGACTTTTCAGCTTTTACCAACCTTCCCTGAACCTTCTTCTAAGGCTGTGTTAGCTTTCCCAAGATCCTGATCTCATAGTCCTCGATGTTGCACTCACCTTGTCTGATTTACGGTCGTCTCTTAATAAATGACCCTTCTCCTCAGGCTTCCTCAGTTTTTGGGTCAGCCTTTTAGCTTTCCAAACCTTGCAGTTGCTGCTTCTTAATATCGTTGCTAATTTTTTGCTTTCTCTGATGTGTTGATCACTCTCAGTATTTTCAGGTTCGCCAAGTCTTCTTCAATGTCGTGGTCACTCTTTCTGCGTCTGAATGTCCTCAACACTCCTTCAGTTTAATTCATGTGTTGCTCTCCCTCTCAACTTCTTCATCAACCCTTTCAGCTTCTTCGTTTACCTGTAACTCAAAATCTGAACCTAAAAGCGGCTGGACTGCCTCGTTTAGTCTTGACTGTCTCCTGTGATGGCTGACTGTCTTCTGAGTGTGGGATCATTGGGTACTTCTTATCACCTTTAACTTCCACATTTAGCCCTCTACTCAAGACCTTATCACCGCTGTGCCCTTCGTCTCAGTCGCAGTGTGCCAGTGTTGGGTACAGTGTGTTGTTTGTGTGTGTATGTAGGTTGAGGGGTTGAAGGTGAGTTCAGAAAATATCGTAAGCTGGAAGGAATGTACCATTTACTGACGAACACACACACTTTAGTAACACTAACAGATATGCATAACCAATGAGCTTGCAGATGTATCATGTTGTTATTGATTGAAAGTCTAACTTAATCTTTACTATTTTGTTCAAACTGACGATAAAAATAAGTTTTCCAAACATTCCTGCCACAACAAATCCACACTGACACTAAATCTCCTCACTGGTGCTATACAACAACAGTTCCATAGGCTGCCCAGGATATAACCAGGTGTAAATCAAACTTGGTCCTGATGCCAAGGCTCTGTCATATGTTCTGGTCTTATATTTGTCACAAGGAAATCAGCCTGTAATTGTAGTCTTTGGTGTGGTCCCTGGCGAGGTGGCGGTCTCTGTGTCCCAGTCAGACGCCATAACCTTCAGCTACCTATCCTACACACAGGTGCTGAGTTGGCAATATGCTGGAACATTTAAAGTTTGAGAGGCTTAAGTACTCCACCAGGGGATCTGCTTAAGGATTTTAAAGGGTCTGGTAGCCATTTCTGGACTACTCTGACTTGGAATTATCTTCTAAAGACACTGAAACATAAGACTTCAATTCAAAGGTTCAATGTGTAGGATTTAATGGCATCTAGTGGTGTAGTTGCAGATTGCAATTCCGTTGATTCACACACCCCGTCCAAGCGCGAAGGAAAAACTACAGTGGTCGCAAAACGCACAAAAAAACAAACAAAAAACGATTGTCTCTAACCAGAGTCAGTGTTTGGTTTGTCCCTTCTGAGCTACTGTAGAAATATGGTGGTCCAACATGGTGGCCCCATGAAAGGCGACTTGCAGTGTCTCTAGATAAAAATGGATTGAAAGCATAACAATAAATATTCATACACACTGAACATGTAATTGACTGATAATCTCACTTTGAAATGTTGTGTTTGCTGTAAATTGTAAAAAGGTGTTTAAAGCTTATTATTGAGTATTCTTAATGTAAATAAAGTTAGAGATGTGTTTGTGATCTGTTTTCATTCCAGAACCAGTTTGACCTTTAGAGATTGACGTTCTTGCTGACTAACATCATTTTGGAATAACTTCATATCATTTAAGAGGTTAGTCAGCTGTCAGGAACAGAGCTGTGATGTGGTTTCAGTTAGAGTCAAACAATGAATGAAGTTGTGTATGTCTGTACAGATCTATATCTGCCTGCATGCTTGTGTAGTTAGGTCAAAGTAATAGGCTGTCATATGGACAGAGAGTGTTTGTTTTAGCACTGTGACACACTGACTGACTGCTGACACACAGGTGAACTGTTCAAGGTAAATAAACACTGACGCAACCAGCTGCAGGGCAAAAAGAAGAATACAAAAACTCTTTCAGTGGCAGAGTCTCCAGGTAAAGGTGGTGTTGCATGTGAAATGTGAAAATATCACTATTTTTCTGAGGTTTTTCAGATTAAAACAGAAATTAAGATACAAATTCAGGCTCTTAATCCAATTTTGTTGATTTCAGTTGTGTTTAATTGAACCCTTATGCTAATGAGTGGCTTTAAAACTTTAACAAGTTTAAGGGGGAACCCGATATTAAACACCAAGTGTTATTTTAATGTCAAAACAAGTGCATGAACAGCATTACCCGCCCTTTTAAATACCATATCTTCGCTTTCTATAAGGTTATGCTTTGCAGTGAAGCTACAGTTCTTTTAGATACAGGTTTTAATTGGGGTTTTGTTAGCTGTTACTAATATTCAATGTCTCTCCTGACCTACTGACAATGAGAGGACAGTGTTTGTAGTTACAAAGGTGGAACTCATGTTGAGTCACCTGGCCTGGTTCCCGAGATGTAAGACAACACACTGAGAGGGGGAAGAGTGAAAGGGTGAGGCTAAAGACGAGGAACAGAAGAGAATGAAAAAGAAAGCAAAGTAACTCCTGATTTTCTCGGCGTGATTGATCACTTCAGACAGATATTTAATCACTGTAAATATAAATAAATTGCTGCCATGAGACTCAGAGGCAGCAGGTAGTCTGGCAGCGTGATCAGAGTGTCAGATGGCAGTTGAGGTAAACAGGACATCGACCTGATAGAGACCAAGCAGAGCAGATCTGACTGTCTCTCAGCCAAATGAGCATCTGCTGCTACACTGCACACTGACTAATCACAGCTCAACACAACAACAGAAGACTAATTCACTGTATCACCAGTGACACTGCATCATCGGCAGTATGTCACTATACATTTAACTTATAAAGACATGTAGACAAGATAGAGATTAACACAGAAATAACATGGATATTAAAGTTGACACTTGATGTTGTTACAGGAGTAAACTGTTAGAACGAGCTCTTATTAATTGCTGATGACAATAGTTGTGTTTCCACCCAAATGTAGTGCAAATTTTACCCCTTATTGCCCCTTCCTAAGCCCCACCCCTTTTTGCTCCATCCTCCAATAACCTTTCTTGTTTGCAATATTTTAATCTTTACTCTGCCTCTGATTGGTTTACCCTGACACTCTAGTCCTAACCCTAACCTAAGCTCACTCCTCACGCCTAAAACTAACCAACCAAACCAGTGAAGGCAACAAGCACTAGCCAATCAGAGCCAGAGTACGGTGGCTTCCTGTATATGTTATGTACTAGGCTGGTCTACACTGAAAAGAAAGATAATTTGAAGACGGTTAATATATAAATATATATATATAGTCACATCTTAAGTTAGCTCATGGTAGCAAAACACTAGCAAACAAACAAGTCATGTAAATTAGCTAGAGACAGACTTACATCAGATCTGTGTGGAGCGATAACGGATGTGTTACAGAGTCATAGAGCAATGAAGAGACAGCTCATCAGTCATGTGAGTTTAGTGTTTGCTATATAAGTCAGTAAAAACCACCTCAAGCAAACATTAACACTTTGTTTTGCAAAACTGAGCAATTTTTTCCAAAGGTCGACCTATACTTGCGATAATTCAAAATGCACATAAAAATCCATTTATGGAAACACGGCTAATGTCTTCAGGCCATTTTTCTTCCACCTCAGCCAAGTGTAGAAGCATTTTCTTTCCCAGGCTACAAAAAATCTGCATAGAAAGCACACCAGCACAACATAAAAACAGAGAGCCAATCCTGACTTGCTCAGAGGACAACTAATTAATCAGGTCTTTAAACACATCATCGGTCCAGTGGCCTGAATAACAGCTGAGTCCTGCCAGTGGAGTCCTGGCTGCCCCTCGTGCCTGCAGTCATCACTGTCTCACCCAGAATCACAGTAAACACGGCGCGCTGGGGAATAACAGCTTTGGTAAAAATCTGCCTTCTCTTGAAGCTAAATTGGGAGACACAGTTTTCATAGCTGGTGAAAAAAAAAAAAAACTCAAGGCAGCATCGCTGACCAGGAGCTCTCGCTTTCTCTCTCCTTTAGATCTTGTTAATGAATTCTGAAACACAAAGCTTTTCCTGGGAGAACTGCCTGTGATCTCGTCCTGATGTGAACCAGGTTTATTGCCAGCCGCCGCTCAGCAGAAGAAACACACTCCTCTGGAGACTTTTGGACTCTAATTCTACTCAGACTTCAGTGTTTTACTGGAATACTCCACTTCAGTCCTGCTGAATGCATTAAAATGTTTCCTGAGCTTATTGTGAGCATCAGATTGGTTTCGATTTTACTGAGAGAAACATTCAATTCAGCTTTACGCAAAACACAAATCTCTCTCTCAGTCCTTGACCTCCCTCGCACCTTCCTCCTACCACACTCCTCTTCCTCCCACCTCTCCCCCTCCTCTTCTTTCATCACCAGGTCAACCTTGAAAAGAGCTGAGTAATACAATAAAAATGTGGGGGCTGTTGAATGTCGCACCATTTGAAAGCGAGGCGATGTGTGTGTGTGTATTAATTAAAGCGGAGCAAATGAGGAGAGAGAATCTGTGGCGTATTAACACGGCGGAATAACACGATCACTCGGTCAGGTAAACAGAGGAGGAGGCGGGAAGGAGGGGGAGAAAGAGAAAGATAGACGGGCAGAAAAAAAGACAACAAGGGGAAGGAAAAAGACAGAGAGGGAGAGGACAGAAAACGTTTGGTACAATCGGAGCAGAGCTGATGAATGGGGTTTAATGTGGGGAGGACAGGTAAGTTACATCATTTGTAGTGTTTCATGTGCATCTCAATGTCACATTTTTGGAACAAGAGCAGAAAAAAAATACAAACTACCTTGGCATCATCTGCTGACGGTCACTGGGTCATCAGGACACACAGCGGTAGAGCATCTGTATACACACACTCTCTCTCTCTCACACACACACAGAGCACACAGCACATACAGAAAGGTTAAAGATTAAATATTCTCCTCTAACTTTTTTTTTTTTGACTCTGTTTTACCTCCATAAAATACATTTAATGTTGAATTTAAAGCTGCAGCAACTTTATAAAAAATATTTTTTTGTCATATTTGCTGAAGCTTTCCCTGTATCCTGACCAGTGTTGGGCCAGTTACTGAAAATAGTCATCAGTAACAGTAACTAGTTACTTCTATAAAAGTAATTAGTTACTAGGTAAAGTAAATTTTGTGTTACATTTGCTGTGAGATAAATATATTTTGATATTAATACTCCTGACCACCAGAGGGCAGCAATGAGTAGCGTTCCCATCCGTACCCCAGATGTGCTGAGTTATCGTACCGTCTCCTGCAGTTGTCCACTCGTAATTGTGTTATTTAATTTGAAACGGAAAATCTGTTCCCTTGCTAGTTACTGCCAAAATTAGTGGCATTACAGTTACGTGTTATAAAGTAATGGATTACTGTATGAGCCAAGAAAGGCTTTCGATTGTTGCTGCAGTCAAACGATGGGAATCAAACTCTTTTTTGGCTGATTGGCTGTTTTCATTCAGGCGCGGTGGATTCTTGAAAGGAGGAGCCAGAGGATGTCTCATGTCCTACTGTCAGGACACAGCAAATATGACAAAAAAGTTACTTTTATAAAAGTTACCTACTGCAGCTTTAAATGTGCTGACATCCAAACTTTGTTTTATTGTATAAACTACTTTGCTTCCACTGTTATTCTGTCTATTGATTGGCTTACAGGTGTCCAACTGAAATCACATTTAGCCATCCGTCTTTCCTCTAAAAATGGTCAAAAATAATAATGTTGTTTAAATGTATAATAATAGCCCTGTTATAAAAGGGTAATGCTCATTTTAATCTCGCTGACTGAGCTCTAGCAGAGAGAAACCTAAACACATTAGCCTACAAGCTAAGAGCAGCCAGTGTGTAAAGAAGAGTCAGAACCAGGGCAGCAGATACGTTTATGTCTGATGTTCTGCAAACTGAAGTCAGTAGTGCTCTTTTCCCCGGTGAATGAACCATTCAAGGGCAACAAACACACTTTAAAACATGGAGAATACACTCAATGTAACACAGCCTGTTTCTTCCTTTGGTCATTAACAGTAAGTACCATAATAGTAGGTATTCTATTATAGTAAATAATGAATCTGACCTGGGATTCTCCGTCTCATTCATGATTTACTTCTCTGGGGACACACTGCCATGTATTACTGCGCACTTAATTATTTAAATGTTGGTTAATCTTCATCTTTCCTGTCTATGGAGCTCTGAATGGACGAGCTCCCCCACATACTGTGTACTGTTTGTCTGACCCGAGCATCTGGTGCTGTTGCTGTACCGAAGGTCAAGTCAGTATTTGGTGAAGCTGCCTTCCGCATGTATGCTCCTAGCTGTTGGAATAATTTCCCCCGACGACTTCAGCTGCGCTCGGGTGGTCACATTAAAGTCTTTTAAGACTACTCCAATCTTTGTAATTAAATAATTGACAGCTCGACTTCCCTTTAAATCAATGAATAAAAAATGGTCACTTACACTCGGCGGTTTCAGAAGAAGCTCCTCTTCAAAACCGCTGATGTCGTCAACACTGGAGGGTTTAATGATGTAGACACTGTGTGTGTGTGTGTGTGTGTGTGTGTGTGTGTGTGTGTGTGTGTGTGTGTGTGTGTGTGTGTGCAATTGTGCCCACTGACCAAAGTGCACCCCTCACTTCTTCTCACTTGTATGCTTCACTTCACACACACACTTGCATACACAAACACCAGGAAACAGTAATATAGTGTATATCTGTGTGTGTATATCTGTCTGTGTGTGTGTGTGTGTGTGTGTGTGTGTGTGTGTGTATGTATGTGTACATACAATACTGATCTGCTCCTGAGTCCTTCTGAGTCTCTGCATCTCTGGAGTGTCGGACACGATGCTGAACCCTCGTCCTTTACTCTCTTCAAAATCCTTCTTATACTTCACCTGCAGGAGAGCGAGAGGGAGAGAAATACTTTAAAATTAAAGGAACAGTCACCAAAATCCTCTGTTAGGGATGTGCTCTGCATCTGTCTGAGTGACATAAATATTTCAGAATTGATGTGCAGTGTTTACAAAAAATTGTGCAAATCTCATAGTAAGTTTATCTCATCCCACGTTCATCAAATGGTTTGTTTTTCCACTTCAGTGCGTCTAAATAAAAGAACACAGACCAGTTCCTGCACTGCAAATAAGGAATCTCAAGAAAGTAAAAAAGCCTTGTTTCTGGGAAATGAGTCATTTTAAGAAAATCTATCTCACTTTGTCTTAATAAGATATTCCAGCTAATGTTGAGCTCGATTTAACCAGTGAAAATAATGGTTTACATAATATCCCAGCAGATTGTGAAGTAAGACAACTAAGAGAAATGAAAGCAGTAAATGAAGCAGCTGTTTAGTTTTCCATTAAGAATGTTTGTGGTGCCTTCATTTAAGATAAAGTCACTATTATAGTGTGTCTTATTGTAAAATTGTTTTGCTGATTATTAATCTTATAATATTAAAATTCTTATATTCAGCTCAATAAAGTGACCAATATACTTATTTTAAGAAAATCTTAAATAACTGAGTTTTTATTGCTTATAATAAGCACAAGTTGCCTAAATTTCTGGCACGTTTTCTAGTTTTAAGGCTCATTACAGTCTTTATTGCTCAACACAAGAACATTTTTATTATATATATTATATATTTGGCTTGTTTTCTAGAATGGCTGTTTCTGCAGTGAACGGCCACAGAAGGAGAAAATAGACCAGAAAGACACAACGAGTTTAGAGGCTGCTACCATAACCTGGCTCACGAACAACCGAACCCGATAACTTGGTTACGAGATCACTGAAGGCGACAAAACCTAGAATTCACATAATAGCGATGATACAGAGGAGCATCTGAAGGTGGATTTTACCTCTGAATGCCCCCACGCAGCAGAAATAATTACACCACTCAGTATTCAGACAGACCACGGCTACAATCAGCTTCACACAGGGTGAAAAGAACTTTGCTATAATTGCTCCTCATACATGTTGAACAGAGATATTCTGAACATGAAACCGGTTTTTGTCTCTGGGTCTAAAACCTGATCTCTGCCATAGTGAACCAGTGGAGGGCCGGACGTTAAAGGACCAGTGTGTAGGTTTTAGCGGCATCTTGGGTGAAGTTGCAGATTGCAACCACCTGAATACAGCTTGAATGAAAATCATGACGATTCTCATTTTCAGGTGATTATACATTAATGAAATGAATATTATATTCTGCATCTTGCACACTGGTCCTTTAAACCTCTGACCTACTGACCAAAGTGTGTGAGTAAAGTCGAGAACCGAAAATGTTCAATTATCAAAAGGTTGACCCTGAAAGACGAACAGATGAAGACCATAATCGAAAACATATGAAGGTCTGCCAAAAGTCTGAACTCTTAAGTATTGAAAGTTGGCATTGAACGCTGAGTCAGACCCTTACAATTTTGATAATTTAAAGAACATCTGATGATATTCTTTATTTGTCTTTTTGTCAAAAAATCCCCTAAAAAGACCAAAATGTATCTACCAACAAGTAATATGTGTATCAAAGCCTGATATATGTTCTTCCTCTGTGCCATAGATCTCCATTATTGTCCAAAAACCATTTGTGAGCCACACTGTTGCACTGGTTGAGATCTTTCTTCATTACTATGAACACAAACACTGCAGTTCATTTTGACTCAATCCCACAAACACTGTTCTGTCGCCCCAAATACTCACTAGAGCACCAAATGTGTATTCATCCGCCACTGAAAATAGTCCCTAACAGGTGTACTATTTCCCCCTGTGTGTTTGCAGCTGTTTTGAGGATATTACTGAGACTGATATGTTTTTAAAGGTGGAGCCAATGGGCGTGGACTTGAGAGACCGAAAGGAAGTCATGAAGCACTGACTGACACATTGTTGATTTTCAGGTAAAGCATTGGGACTGTTTGGTATTAAAACATTTCCAATAATGATCTCTGGATGCAAACAGCTGGAGTCTCCATCAACAAAGAATCAGAAACAAAGAAATCCAAATTCTTGCAGCCAATCAGGCTGAGTGGATGATTTACAGCGCTCGGACAACAACGTCAACAACAGCAGAGCGGCAGGCGGTCATTTCATACTCTGGTCTGCCTGCACTTCAGCTCGACCTTCAGAGGAAACGCTGCAGCTCATTTAGCCATAAAGTCGTCCTGCTGGTGTCTATCAGACGTCAGTAACAGCCCATTAGGCCTCAGCACAGAGTTACATAAGGCTGTAAACTGCAGAAATATGACTCAGACAGTTAGGGTGTGTGTGTGCTGGTATTCTGCTCTCACAGTGATTGTCCCCGTTCTCAATACAAAGCAGATTAAATCCCCATTCATCAGTCGTAGGCTCCCTGCAGAGCTAATATGACAAGCTAACGAGCTAAACCACACACACACAGACACACACACACACACTCACAGAAAAACAGCTGATGCCCCATACACACCAGCTATGTAGGGTGGAAATTAGGGCTGCAGGGTTGTGGGTAAAATATGAAAATATTTCTGCATCACAATTTCCATTTTCATTATAAAAAAAACTAATAATTAAAATCATGATGATGTAACAAACATGTTTTCTTACGTGTGGGGATCAAGATTTGGAGGCGCTCCATATTTCATACGTAATACTTCATGAGATGGCGGTCAGATAAACAAGTCCTCGCCACTCCAGGCAGGGTTCAACTGACAGGGTTCAGTGTCAGTTTTACGTCTCAGGGTTGACAGAGGCATATTTTCAGTAGAGCACATCCCTACTCGTGACTTATAACAGCCAGATGTTTTGAAGAGCTCCTGAGCGAGGTCGGAAAGGACGTGTGAAAGATACGATTGGCGGTGTTACTGCATCCGTAAACATCCTGCCCTGAGAAGGAAGGCAGATGGCTCACTTGTTTGCTAATTCTATACAGTATATGGAGTTTATTGTAAAGTATTCTGTCAGATTTATTTATTCGGGACTGGGACGGTTGCTTCTGTACTGGATGTGGCCCGTGCGTCAACCATTGAATAGGCCGGCTATATCTGAAATGTAAATAATAAAATAAAGGCTCAATTATTATCAATATTACCTCACTCACTGGCTGAGTGACAGACATCATAAGGTCACATGATCAAGCCACATCCACTCCTCTTTACCATAACACAACTAGGTCAGTGCTGAACATATGGGGGTTTTCCCACTGTGTGTACGTACACTCACACCGCACACTGTCATTGTCTATTATAATCAGGCTCCCAGAGCCAGACTTGAAAGCTTCAGCGCTAATATAAAGTGATTTCAACATCACCTCCAGGGACAACACACACGGAGTGGAAGAGTTAAAGAAGAGGAGGAGGAGGCAGGTAGGTTGAAAGAGGAAGAGAGAATTGCTGGTGAAATTGTCACATCAGAAGTATCTATAGGGATGCAAATTTAAGACAGTCTCTGTGGGTTTTGTAGCACAAAGGGAGGATATAAAATTGAATTGGAGATGTGAGAGGAGCCACACTGATATCAGCCTCATCCATTAAAGCAGACAGCTGAACAAAGGATTGACTGGCACAGACACACTGTCAAAAGCCTCTGTAACCTGTTTCTGCCGGGAGGAATTCAGTCCACAGTCTGACTGTAAGAATCTACTGGGGATGGTTTAATACCACTTCTTCCTGTCCGATACCGATGCCGCAACCTTGAGTATCTGCCAATACCGATACCAATCCGCCTTTTTATCTTTCTTTAACAATTAAGCTGTTAATAACACAATAGTATGGATGCACTTTGCTTAGCCATCTAAAAAACATAATGCTCAAACTGAGAAACAAATATTCTACTCCCATGAAGGAAGATACAGCCCAAATTTTAGTTAAGCCTCTATGTCATAGTTAAGGCTAATTTTTGTATCGTATCAGCACATCCCTACCATCTACATATTCTCATGTGACCGCTAACTGAGTCTGAAGTGTCAGACCTGAGTGTGGTTTTATGGGCTTTATCAGAAAGTGGCAGACGCTGTGAAAGTAAACAATAAAGTGATCCGCCACTGCTTGTTTTGATTGTCTCAACTTGTCTTTTTGCAGGTGAAGACAGGAGAAAATGTACCTGAAATAAAGGCAGGATTTACTCTGAGTGACATTTAACTTTTTATGTGTGTCAATTAGATTCTTTAATTGCCCTAAAATCTCTAACACGAAGAGAAGAAACCATATCCTTTGTAAATTTCATTTTAACATGAGCAATTATAAACTTTCATTTGTGTTGATTCTGGCGGCCCCTGTGGACAGAAGCGGTAGTGCTTCCACCACCTTGTTTTATTTATTTCAAGGAAAATCCAACCAAGGCATTAAGAAGCATTAAGAATAACTGTATAGAAATACTGATGGTCCTGTTTGTTTATTTAGGTCATACAGAGGCATCAGTATTAATCTGAGACTGTTTCATAACCAGTTAAAAAGTCCTTGTAGAGGATTTAAGTCTGATGTGTGTCTGCGGCATACCGTCACATTTTGACACAATAACTGACTAACAGAGGACAGGAGACATTTATTTGGAGTATATATGTTCTCCAGAGAGCATCACTAACAGTCCAAACCCTCTGAAACCGGATTCCTGTCCACTGGTAGAAAAACTGGTAGCAGGAGAACAGAACAGACAGAACAGGAGGAGACAGAAGTCTTTTTTTAAACTAAACTATAACGTGATAGACTACAGGATATTAAAGCTTTGTGTGATCAAGCTTTGCTGCCAGCTAGACATTTTAGGGAAGGAAAAATCTTCACCTGTTCAGTAGTTTAAGATATATCAGACCTAGCATGTCAATGAACTTGAGCTGGGGAGGAAAAGAGGACAAGGTTGACAGAAAGAAAGAAGCTGGATGGAGAATAGGAGGCAGAGGAAGACAGGGGCAGAATAAATGAATGTGTAAATCTCTGGTCTGTAAATGACAAACCGGTAATAAATGGATTTTTATGAGGGCAGGGCAGCACACACACAAACAGCACGTCCCCTTCTGCTGACTGCTGAGTGGACATCTGTCCTTTTGTACTGTAGTCCGCGGGGCTCGCTCACACACACAGGACGGGGACATATGGCACAGAAGTATAGCTGGTTCATTCCCTCATACGTGTTCTCTGCATCGGTTTGTGTGCGTCTCTATAAACCGGCACGGTGACTCATCTCGCCTTCAGGAAGCCGAAGCTGTCAGAGCAGCTTCTCCTGACACACCTGAGCGTTTGTCTTCGTCTCCATGTGGCGCCAGAGGGGCGGAGATATGAGCCGTAAAGCAGCTTTAAACCAAATGTCAGTCTGCGCATCAACAAAGCTAAGAGGATCTGAATGTGACGTGTTAGATCAACTTCAATACCCGGGTATCCTTTGTCACAGAGATGTGATAAACGGATGATACAATGTTCGAACTAGCTGTAGAGAACAGTGCTTTAACGTTCTCCAAGTTGCACTTAATGATCCTGTATTGAATGCACATTAAACTCTATTTGTCTAGTTAGATAAAGAGAGATAGTGGTAAAAACTTTCCTGTGTTTTGTTAGAGACTCTGATAAAATTGGCTGGTCGTCTCTGTCTGAGAGTTTAAATAAAGTGTTTTTTTTCACTTCTTTTTACATGCAAATTGAAAATACAAATAAAACTGATGGATGGAAACACACATGGTGATTCTGAATCAGAACAGCTACCTGCTCAGGGATGAGTCAACACTGAGGCCTGCAGAGTGTGTGTGTGTGTGTGTGTGTGTGTGTGTGTGTGTGTGTGTGTTCACCTGGCTCTGTAGCTCGCTCTGCTGTCTCAGTCTCAGGTTCTCTGGTGTGTCGGCCACGATGGTGAACGACGTCTTGGGGTAATGTCTGAAAAGAGGAAGAGCAGAAGAGGAGGAATGAGGATCGGCACGACTAAATCTACATTACTCTAAATATAAAAATCCATCCTGACAGTCAGAAGGACACATTGAAGGACTGAGGACGACACACTGAACAATCAGAAGGGACTGCAGTTAGAGTCATGTTGCAACCACTGAAACAGGAAAGAACATCCTGCATCCTTAATTTACATATTTATAAGCAAAGGTTTGTGGGAAAGGAGAAAACCACAAACACACAGATTAAAGCCTGGAAAGATAGATTCTCGTGTTAATTTGTGATATGGTTTGTAGCTGCTCTGATCAGTGACCAGTTCTGAAACTACCTCTAACCTCTGGAAGTCTATAACATCTCGCTCTTGAACGCCCTTTAAAGGTGCGTTTATTCAGCCCGGATTCACCACATCTGTCACTGAGTCTTTTGAGATCGAGAAGGACAAAAGGAAATGTTTCTCCTCAAATCTGAAACAAAGAAATTGTTTTGATCTCATCTTAAGAGGACAAAAAGCACTCAGCAACCAGTCATAACATGTTTCTGCCTCTGTAATGAGTCATTTTCTTTATAAATGTTCAGCTCTTTTTAACAATAACGGCTCCAGCCTGAAAAATGTCACAGGCCTTTCCATCATTAGAGTAACCTTAATGAGTTAATGACCCACCAAGACGCTGACATTAGCAGGAACAATGACCCATTGAGAGGCTGACAAATGGAAATACCTCTCTTTATCTCACTTGACCTTTCACTCTCTGGTTAATGACCTTAAAATATATATATTAAGTTCTCTGTATCTAAAACTGCCTCAGTCAGTTTGGATTTAAAGGTTTTTGTCAGTATGAGAAACAATGGAGCAGACACAGTGAGTGACTACAGTATGAGGTTGTTGGATGGGAGATGTACAGTAGGTGGGAAACACTCCCACACTCCACCTCTAGGAACTTTTGAAGGTATTTTTATAAGCAGTGTTTAGACCAGGACCCTCTGCGGCTCTTGATATGATGATATTCTGCCAAGAAACAAACCATAGGTATTTAGTCTTTGTGTATTTTTCCCTGGAATTGACCAAATACTCATCCAGTCCCTCAAAACTGACTCCAATCACATGTAACACCTTCCAAACTCTTTGGACACTAAACCTGTTCAACCAAAGGGTTAGTGGAGCCACAGGAATTAACAGTTAGAACTGCAAACTCTCACGAAGCATTGACTGCAGAGCAGAGAGCCTTTCTGCATCTGGAAATACGACAGAGGAACCACATTTATTCCCTGGTTTCTCCAATTATATCAGACGTACATTAAGTTCCTGAGCTCCTGAATGGTTCCTTGGAAAAGTTCTTGCAGTGGAAACATCGTCATCACGTTGACACAATCAATCAGTGAGTTCAGTGGTAACCAGTACATATAAAAACAAGTCTATTATAAAGTCAAATATGCGACAGGCTTTCAGACACACAGCTCTTTTAGATGCACAGAAGTCAGAAATAGTGTCCGTAATAGGTGTACATGAAGGGGTGCCATAAACAAAATCACTACTAAGGGGTCAACAGAAACATTTTAATTATTAATTCCTACATTTTACAAGCAGATGTTTCATATTTCAGTAATAAAAAATACTGCTGTAGCCTTACATCAGACTTCACCGTACATTACCTTGAACAGTACCTTATTAAAAAGGTGACTGTGGGACTGTTACAGCTGACTCATACTCAAACTGCTGCTCAACTTACTGGCTCACTTGTGGAGCTGTTTTTGGTCTGCAGTGGGTGGACGCGACAAAAACACAACACGAAGGATATTTAACAAAGATGAAGGTGAATCACAGACACAAAGGCAGCTAGACAAACATGAGTCATTATAAGACCTCAAAGGAAAAACACTAAAAGTCTCAGAACAACAACGCAAATAACAGCTATAACACCTCTGAGTTTAAACAAAAAGAACTTTGTGACGTGATCTGTCCGAATGTCGTCAACCGTCTCCCTCTTGCGAACTAACGATTATATTCATTACAGATTAATGTGCTGTTTCGTTTCTCAATTAACTGATCAATCGCTGGGGCAACAAAGGAATCACTACCTTCCAAGCTGGAAGTCCTAAACTGCAAACACATCCAACAACATATATTATTGAATGTGCATTACTTTAAATTCCAGCATTTTATCAGTGTTAATTTTGGTTATTTAAAATCAATCAGAGCAAACTTTAAAGGATCTTATTTACTGTGATTCAGTCGTCTTTTGCAGCTGGAAGCTTGACAGAGGCCTAAAGTTTGTTGAAGCCAATTTGCTCATTTGAAAAACAAGTGAGAACTTTGGATGGAAACATGCCTTTGTGTTTCCCACCCTTCGACACATAAAAGATGTCTCCACATGCTCCTACTGCACAAAAAAGCTGCCATCTTTCTTCCACTCGGAGCCAGAGTCTGCGCAGTAGTGATCGGTGTTGGCGCAGCGGTATCGAAGTCCCGCCCATACACCTGGCGGACTCAATCGCGATCAGGGCTCAGCTGTCAATCATGACGAATAACTAATTAAAACCAAACTGATCAGGAAATAAACAGTTAAGCAAACATCAGCATGATAAGAACTACCAGAAACCATCTTTGGGGAAAATGTATTTAATGTTTAGTTTGTCCAACTGCTAACATTGAGGCTTTATGGGCTATACCACAGTCAGCCACCAGGGGGTGACTGAGATGTTTTGGCTTCACTTTTGGAGAGCTGTCATGTCGTCTATATTTATATGTGTCAGTGGTTTCTCCTTTGTGTATTAACTTGTGAAAATAAAATGAATCTTCCCTCTGTGTTAGTGAACTGTTGTTGTTGTTGTCGCTGTATAAAATAAATGTCTGTGCAGGCGAGCGAGAGGTCCAGCATTGTTTCACACATGAGAATTTACAATTAACGACCAAAATGTCCAGATTGAGTCAGCTGTAGTGGCGGCTTGTAGCTGCTGGTGACTCTTCTGTGATCTCTGAGCAGATTAGAAGCACCGGAGGAGCTCTTGACACACAGGAGAGACACACAGCGTCCACTCGCTCTGAACAGTGTCCCTCAGAGCTGGCTGATTCACTGTGTGTGTGTGTGTGTGTGTGTGTGTGTGTGTGTGTGTGTGTGTGTGTGTGTGTGTGTGTGTGAATCATCGATGCCAGCAGCATATTCAGCAGCACAGTTTGACCACTCCACCGAACTGTCCTTCACTCCTCTCTTCCTCCCACTTCACCTCTTTCTTCCGCCCACTCTCATTTTCACATCCACTCTCTCTCTCTCTCTCTCTCTCTCTCTCTCTCTCTCTCTCTCTCTCTCTCTCTCTCCCACACACATTGTATCAATCTCAATTTCAATTTAGAGGGCTTTTATAGCATTAAATCATGCTGCCAAGGTAAAATGTCACATATAGAATATAAATACTCAGTAATAAAAGGGAATATGTCTGTGCTTCTGTCGTCTTCTCCCATAAGGGTTCGGTTTCTGGTTGAATTCAAGGAAGAAACTTGAATCCACGTGGCCAAATACACATTAATGCAGCCTTGAAGAAAGGAAAGTTAATGAAAGAATATCTATTCTGAGCGCTTGTCTTCAAGAATATATAAAAATTGTGTTTTTTTATGGCCTGAACTTCCTGTACTGTGAACAGATGAGGAGGAGCTGTAACACTGTACTGTCCCCCTCTGACCCCTGAGTCATCCTGGAGGTCAACCACAATACGGAGACTATGAGAGAAACCTAACACCTCCATACACACACACACACACACACACACACACACACACACACACACAGATATGTCCCCATCCTACCAGGTGAATCAGTTGTTACCTGACACCAGATTTATAAATGACAGTCCTGAAGTTACAAACAGCGTCATTATATTGTTGTTTCCTGTCGTCAGTCGTAATCATGATAATAATCACTAACAGTCCGCTGTGGTCTGAACATGTCTGCGTCTTTGAACCGATGATTAGCAGGAGATCATAAACAGTCATCACAATCTCTACTCGTGCGTCCGTCTGTCTCCGCAGTGTGTTTGTCTCTGCAGTCAAAGTACATAATGAGTCTGTTATAGTTAGAAAACACACACAAAGCACCAAACAGGAGTTCCCTTAAATCTTTAACTGTCACTGCTTCTGTCTCTCTCTCTGTGGAAGATCTCATCAGGACACTCTTTCTCTTTTCCTTCTTCCTGCACTGGTAGGGCTCAGCCACTGACACTCTCATGTCTTTCATTAATCTGGAAATGATTCTCTAACTTCATCATTTTGTTTTATTCTTCAACTTTTCTTTCTCAATCTTTTGCTCCTCTACTTTTTACTTTGTCTCTTTCTGTTTTTGTGTTTTTCGGGCATCTCACTCTTTAGTCTCTGCGACACAAACAGAGAACGACTTCCTGCGGAGACTTAGTTACCCTGTCAGAGACCACGACAGGAAAACACAGCCAGAGGCAACACTGTGTGTGTGTGTGTGTCTGTGTGTGTGTGTGTGTGTGTGTGTGTGTGTGTGTGTGTGTGTGTGTGTGTGTGTGTGTGTGTGTGTGTGTGTGTGTGTGTGTGTGTGTGTGTGTGTGTAAAAAACAACCAACAGTCCCTTTGTTTCATTTCTGTTACTCATAGTTTTACTCTTACATAAACTCACACGCACATACACACACACACACACACAAACTAATTTCGTCCTTAAGTTTCACTTCACCTGTTACCGTCGCTACTGGCAACCACAGATGCTTTGTTCGTTCGGTGCAACCCAATCCTTTGAGACAAAGAGCTGCTCTGTGGGATATTTTACACACACACACACACACACACACACACACACACACACACACACACACACACACACACACACACAGAGCTAGCCAAGGTAACTCCGTGCTGGCTGGACAAGCAGCTCAGGACAATAACTCAGTTTGTGTGGAGTCTTTTAACAGCCAGCTGACGTCCAGACGCCTGCAGCAAACAGGCCTGTCTGCTCGGCTCTTTACGTAATTTGGGTTTC